GTAGGGTTCGTTTAAAGGATACCTTAATGGGCTACAACGGTTCTATAGTGTATGATGCAGGAACCTGATTAAGAAACCCTGGGTCTCAATTAGAGTAAGGTTCCTTCTGCATAGCTTCAAGGGTTACTATACGGGTTCTATAGCGGTTCTACAATGTGTAATGTAGGAACCTGATTAAGAAACCCTGGGACTTCTAACCCCCAAATAGTAGGATTCATATAAGGAGCCCTAATAAAGGCCCAAGCATTATCAATCAGGTTCCTACATTATCACACCTGCAACTAGCAACCTTGACAGCCACCATAGCTGACAGGGCTCTATGTTGGAAAGACGCTCCTGAACCTTAGTTTGTCTGAACCCAAGAAGCCCTAAACCCTAAATGTAAAACTATACCCTGGCCCTACACCCCGAAACACTCAATAAGTCCGAAACCCTAGACATAACTGCTTCTCCCAGGTGGTACCTACGGCCTGAATGACTTGAAGGGCGATCTTCAGGGAATGTACATGAAAGCCGGCGTGAAGGATCGGGTCTCTTAGATTTTAGGGCTTTGGGTTCAGGGCTCAGAAATTACACCTGAACTTAGATTCCATGTTCGTAAGTCTCCCGACCTGCCCAGATCCCCCGACTACCCTCCATCAGATTGGCAATACCGGCGAAAAAACGTCTGTTTGCAGCAGAGGCTGTTGACTCTTTGGCATCATTTGTTGTGCCAAACATCGAAGATGTGATTGTTTACTTAATGATAAGGTGTGAACCCCACCCATGCATGCTGCAATCGCCCGCGAAAACATTCCGAGGTCGGAGCAGTGAGCAGGTCTAAACGCCTCAGAGGGCTTCCGGGTTTAGTTTTCTGTTTGGGGCTTTAGGGCTTTAGGGTTATAAGGTTCAGGGTTTTGGGGCATGATGCCTAAGAGCTATTCCTCCCACGTCTCCCTGTATATTGTTGGGTTTGGGGTTTCGGATCAAGCATTAGTGGGTTGAGCCAATACTGTTGAGTTTAGGGTTTAGATTCTAAGAAGGTTTAGATTCTAGCCAGTCTAGTCTGCCTGCCAGCATGATGTCCACCAGTAGCAGTACCGCCCTACTGCACTGCTTTTTCGGTGTTTCCCTCTTGGAACTGAATAGCAGGAGAAGTAGATCTTGGTATTGAGGCGATGCTGGGGAACCAAGAGCAATGTTTCACGTTGTGTAGTCCCACGGGGGGTTGTTTCGGAGGTTCTTCTGCAAGTGGCTATATTGTCGACAGGTATTTGATAAACTGCTGTTTCAACCGGAGAACTCCGGTGAATTTGATTTGATATGCCCCGGCAAGCCTCGCACTCATTCGGACAATGTTTGGGAGTCGAAATTGAGCGGGGCCCCCTTCCGAAATGTCTGCGGGCGTCTTCCGTTTCGGGCTCAGGGGATTTGGCCTGTAGGTCCTGGCGTTTTGGATTAGGATATTCCGGCGCGACCTTTCGAAGAAATTCAATATAGATCCCTAAGCCCATGTAAGGCGGGTTTCGACAACAGAACTTCAGATGTTTAGCCAGGATGAAGGCGTCATGTTCCTCTTCACTGACGGACAGATCACCAACGAGCCTCGCAGGAGTTTAGGCTTTTGGTCTTGCGAATGTGGGTATGTAGTCACATGGTGCTGGTGTTCAGAAGAGTTTTAAGAAGCTCAGAAGAATTTTAAGAAGGTCAGAGAATTTTGTAGAAGCCTGAGTAATTGTAGGGTTCCTGATTATGATTATACTATCAAGGGGCCCTCCACCCTGTTCGAATTATGATCATTACGGCCCCTTTGTATTGCCCCGTTTCTCTTCGGCACTCTGCGCATACAGACAGCGTCTCCCAGACTGCGTTTCCCCAATGGCAAAAACCCCATTTTAGACCCTGATCGCCCAAGCCTGAACACTCCAAGCTGACCACCATAAGACTGCAAACCGTAGCATGAAACCCCATTAGTTGATTTGCAAAGGCCCCAATCCCATGGAGCCTGAGTCACCAGTAGTTGAACCGCAGCGGTTTATGCGTCGTTTAGCGTTCAGGGTAAATGTTGATTGAGGTTTGTGGAGTTCAGACTTTCGGGTTAGTACTGAGTGCTTCGGTTGATGGTATAAATCCTGCTTTACCTTAAGGACCCTAAACTATGGGAACTATGGTATATTCCTTGTTATGGGTAATGCAGGATTTATATCATCAACCGTTAGGGTTTCAGTTGAACCCGAGCTGAACACCGGAGCAACACTCAACTCGGCACTTCCTCTGTAGTTCTCGAAGTACAGGAGCTCCCCCTGTATTGTTCAAACCCTGTAGGGGCCTTAATCATTACAACAGGGCTTTGGGTGACAGTATACTATAGTTTCCATAAGGAGCCCGCAAAATCCTAGTCTAAGTATTGAGCCCCCGAAAGTACCACCGTGGCAAAAACACACCGGATACCGCACTTGGGACAGTTGATGTTTCAGGGTGATTTGTCTTGGTTTGCACTTCCCTAAACCCGAACAGCCGTAAAATCCAACAGCCTGAACCTCAAAATCCTACCCAGCATTTTAAAGCCTCAAAGCTACAGTGCTTCTCACCTTAGCGCATCAGTAGCGGAGAAAGCCCTGCTGCATCTTCAAAGCAGCCTCAAAAACCCTAAACCCCTAAACCTTGACTCAAAGCCCTAAACCGCGAATGTATGGCCGAGGAAAAGTTCCTGGTGTTCATCAACGACTTGCTGGCATCAGGACGATGGTCTAGGGGTTTAGGGCTTAGGGTTTAGGGGTTTAGGAGTTTGAGGTTTAGGGTTTAGGGTTTAGGGGTTTAAGGGTTTAGGGGTGTTGGGTTTAGGGGTTTAGGATTTAAGGACTTTGTTACCTTGGGTTCCGATACCCCGACTATTTTAACTTTAAGTTCCATGCCCAAAAACCAAACTACTATGGTGTAGATCACGATTTAAGGGTTATGCTACGGCTATACCCACTAGCACTCTGGGGGATCACAACATACTGTTTTGAAAGGAGGGTAGATCTTGAAATCAGTCCTACGGCAATTGTTTCACTGAAAACGTACGTCCGTACGGCCTGTAGCTTAGGTTGTGCACATTAGTATAGGCGCTTATGGTAGGGCTGTGGTAAGGGACCCTTTGCAGACGTCCTTCAACGGTCCAAGTGCCCGAACAGTAGGGTTTTAGGTACCGAAAAGCCATTCAGAGGATAGTACCCTAAACCCTAAACCCTGCAAGCCCTAAAGGTTCGGGCACTTGGACCCTTGGGGCCACTAAGAAGAAGACCGGCGATGTGCAGCTGTTCGCGCTGAAGCTGTGAGAGCAGAGTTCCCAGAGGTTTGGGTTTGAGCCTGAGGGTGAGGGGTTCCAGGGTTTCAGGTTATAGGGTTTGGGATGTTACGGTTTAAGGGTTTAGGGTGTAGGGCTTCAGGGGTTGAGGTTTTAGGGATTCAGGATTGGGGGTTTGGGGCTATTTTCGGGTTTCGGGTCTCGAAGGCGCGACATGGGGAGTTTTGTGGTGTGCTTGCCGATCCGGCTTGCGGGCACATTGACGACTTCGTTGCTGCAGACCACGGCCAGACGTTTGAGAACTTATACTTGCTGTCCGTCCTAAGCTCAGGCGCGGCAGTGGGGGTTCTGCAGAGAGCTGGTGCCGCTGGAGTGGAAGTGGCTTTGAACAAGCTTCGCTCTGTGAGGTGCGAATACCGGGACCACCCCGCGAACCTGGTGGACGATTCCTTTCTGGCCGGGCAGGTGTTGAAGGCACGTTAACTTACGGAAACTGACTGTGCCAAAGGCCCGGAAACTACCGGAGCAGATGCTGCGGAGGGCACCAAACGGCCAAAGAGACCAAAGCTCCACAGGGGACCACGCTGGAAGTCGAAGAAAGGGTGGCTTGCGCGTAAAGAAGGGACGTAAATGATTACCAACATGTGGGGGATCCTTATTATAATTATGGTATAATAGGGCACCGAAGTCTCTGTTCTAATTATTAAGGCCCCTGCATCCCTAAATCCCTTATAGTACCCGTACAGTATCCCTTAAAGGAACCCTTAGCGGATCCCAATTCTAATTCTGGGCGGTTGTCAAAATGATGGTCCCTTGTGGGGCACCCTAAATATTAGGTCGTACTATATTGGGGACCCCCAAAAAGACCATAGTTTGACAACCCCCCATACTTGGAGGATCATGGGACTTGGTAAGTAGGCTGTACCTTAATTGGGGTTATAAGTAGTTATAAGTACAGCTACCTCAATTATAACCCTAGTTGCTAAGTCCCAGGATCTTTTAAGTATTTATACTTTAGAAGCTGCCCCCACCCTGTAATAGTGGTATAATAGGAATATAATAGGGCCCGAATATATACTTATATATAAACCTTATAGTCACTATTACAGGGTGGGGGCAGCTTCTAATCTATACTATTGCAAAACTCCCCCATCTGCGGCTTGGGGCGTCTTAGGCACAGCTCCAAACCCTGCCTAAGCCAAAACAAAGTCCCGGGTTTACGTCGTAGGCCCTCTGGGTTTAGGGGTTTAAGGGTTTAGGGTTTAGGGTTTAGGGTTTAGGGGTTTAGGGTTTAGGGTTTAGGGGTTTAGGGGTTTAGGGTTTAAGGGTTTAGGGTTTAGGGGTTTAGGGTTCAGGGGTTTAGGGTTTAGGGGTTTAGGGTTTAGGGGTTTAGGGTTTAGGGGTTTAGCGTTCAGGGGTTTAGGGTTTAAGTTTAAGGGTTTAGGGTTTAGGGTTTAAGGGTTCCATTTCACTCGTGCAGCACACCATGGACATGTCTTAGTGGGTCCTCGTAGACCCCCAAGTTGAGACCGCAAACCTACCAATCTCACTCTTGAAGTATTGTGGCTTCTTGGTCGCAGCTCAAGCTAGCTGAATGGCCGCACGAGGGTGGCTCCACATTGATTGAGGATACGGAGCTCAGGCATTGGGGCCTGTAGGGTTGAGGGTTTAAGAGACAGGCTCTAGATCATCGCATTAACCTACTTCAGGAGACATTGCAGATCTCTATGCGATGGACGAGAAGGCCGTGTCAGTGGGGTTTCCGGATATTGGGGAGTTCGTGCTTAGGTTGAGTCGGTCAGCCCGTGTGGCGGCGTTTAACCGCATCTGTGAATTCGAGATTACTGTCACCCTCAACCCCTAAACCCTCAACCCCTAAACCCTAAACCCTAAAACCCTAAGCCCCTAAACCCCTAAAGCCCTAAAACCCTAAACCCTAAACCCCTAAACCCTAAACCCTAAAACCCTAAACCGCCAGAAGCAATAAAACTCTAAGCCCGAAGCCCTAGAGCCGACAAGGGTGGAATCTATGCGCGTCGGAGTTTGAGCAAGCTGAAACTTCTAGGTCATATGAACACAAAGGCGAGAATAATTAGGATTACAATTCCATACTACTTCTGAGCGTTCCTTATTATATGCTATAGTATTGCTTCGGCTCCGTACTTAATTATTCTAACTAAACCCTAAACCCTAAAGCCAAAACCCTTATTCTAACTGTGGCCCGTGTCTTAACGAGATGGACAGTGGCGCTGCCTTGCCCCAGACTATGCCGAGCGCAGAGGGTTTCAGAACTCTTGGCCCTGGCTCAGAAAAAGAAATCATTAGATGGGAACAATTCGTCATCGTATCCCCTTGTGGGTAGTTCTTTAAATTATGGTCCTCTTTACAAGGGTGCCGCCGTAGTATATTGGGGACTTAAGAAGGGACCCTAATTTAGAGAACTACCCTTGTCCCCCTATTCTGATTGTTAAGGCTCCGGCAGGATACCAAGGGTAAAAGGAGGGACCCTTAGTAAGGACCCCTAGGTATATACCCTTAAAATAGCTATTATACACCCGTTATATAGCCCATTATAGGGTAGGGGTCCCCATTAAGGGTCCCTCCTTTCCCCCTACTAAACCCTAAACCCTTATAGATCCCTTCAACGGAACCCTAAGAGCCATAAATTAAGGGTCCCTCCTTTTCCCCCTTGAAGGATGCCTCAGCAACCCCCTAATCCCGGACCCAGGCCTTCCAAACCCTGAACCTCCAAGCAATATACATGGAACTCTAAAACCAAAAGCCAAAAAGACCTTAAACAAAACCCTAAACCCTAAAACTCTTCAAGCACAAAGCCCCCCCACCTCCCCCCCCAAAAAATAAAAATAAATAAAGCCTAAAACCCTTCAAGCCCACAGCCCTTAGGCCCTACCTATAGTCTCCATTGTAGTTCCTTTTTTTGGTTAACCAGTTTTATGGTTAGGACCCTATGATAGAGATTTTGGTTAATCAAAAATAGGAACTACAATGGAGACTATAGGTAAACCCTAAACCCTAAACCCTAAACCCCTAAACCCTAAACCGACTATAGGTCCTTCAGCCTGGATCCCCCACAGCATTCTGCCCAGGATGCCATCCGCAACGGTGTGCGAAGTGGCTGCAAGGGTGCCGGCATTCAGGACGGGCTTGCGAAAGTACCGTTGATGATATAAATCCTGCATTACTTTAAGGAATCTAAACTATGGGAATAGTGGTATATTGCTTATTATGGGTAATGCAGGATGTATATCATCAGCCGTATGGATCTACGATCTCGTTGTGGGAATCAGTTTATGTTTGGGGCTGCATCGTCTAGTACTTAGGCAGCAAGTCTAAAGCTACTGTGGGGTTGTCCGTGGATGACTAACAAGTAGACAGCTGTTGAGATATCCGAAGGTCCGCGCGTAATTAACATGCCAAGCATCGTTACATCGTCGCCGTCCTGACTGCTTGACATGTTTTTGGTGGATTGTTGGAGGGGAGCTTATGGCCTTAGCTTTCCAGGCGAGGAGTCCTCCCGCTCTGCTGCGCTTTCTCCGATAGAGTGCACGGCTATAGAAGCCTTAAGGCACCCGGAACTTCATGATGAATAGCCCCCTGAGCCCTAAACCCGGTTTTTAGGGTTTAGGGTTACAGTCCCCTAAACTCTAAGTTCTTCACGCTGAAGCTCTAACCATGTGCATTTTTATACACCCCGAAACCCGTAACCGTATACTTGGGACTTCAAAAGAGCCCTCAATTTAGAGAACTACCCACATCTAGTTCCGCAGCGAGGACACTCCGGAGAACCTGTGGGCTTTCTTCATCTCTCGCATCCGTGACTCGGACATGTCCCGACAGTTTAGGGCTTCGGGTTTAGGGGCTTAGGATTGCAGGGTTTCAGGGTTTAGGGTTTAGGATTTAGGGGTTCGGATTCTGGGTTTAGGGTCTGGGACCTTTGTAAGTACCGTTAGAAGTACCTGAATGGGGTGTGCAGCTGTAGCTACCTTGTTCATGTCTCGAGGTGCATCGTCCACCGATGCTTGGAAGCCCTAAGCCCTTATAGATCCATGAAGGAGCCCTTTTGTTGTCGAATGATCACTTCCCCATTCAGTAGATGCATTATACTGGGGTGCAGGGTTTGGGGTTTAGGGTATTCTACTGTTGACTGTTGATGATACAAATCCTGCATTACCTTAAGGATCCTAAACTATGGGAATAATGGTATATTCCTTATTATGGGTAATGCAGGATTTATATCATCAGCCGTAACACCACCCTATTCCACAAAACATGAAACCTCAGATAAGCTCTCACCCTCCGTACCCTACAACCTTATCAAGCCATACCATGGAGAGTCTGCGTCACCCTCTGAAGCACCTGCTAAGCGCTCATTCACGCTGTATGTTGTACCTTAACTGACCTCATATATGTATATATATTAATTATATTATGTATACATACCATCGTATCTTCTATATATTCTCGCTATCTACACACCAAACCCAAACCCATGCTAAACCCTAAAACCTTGCCCCTAAACGCTAATCCTCCAGCTGAGCTCAGGAAAGAACCTGCACATGTCACTGTGCTTCAGCCCCGTTGGCGACGCCATGCGCGGCCGTGCGCGAAAGTTCCCGGCCCTGGTGAACTGCACCTGGGCTTTCGAGCTTATATATATATATACACCTCGTAATAAGCCCTGCTTATAGATGCAAAACCCTTTCAAAGCCAGTGTAGAACCCGAAAAGATTTGTTGGTCCTAGAACTTTTGGAACTCGCTTGTGGCATTGGCTTAAAACTTAATTTAAGGTTTAAGGTTTAGGGTTTAGGGTTTAGGGAACTAAACCCCAAACTTTCAGCCCTGTACTGAGAATTTGGAACACCCCAAAGCCCAGTAAATCCGGTTTCAGGCTCAGTCAAGCGATGAGGATTTAGGGTGAATTTTTTATGGTGCTAAGATTTTGGGTTTCAGCTCGATAAAGGGCTGAATGGTTGAAGGCTTAATACTTAAGTTACAGGAGATTCTTTCTGAGGAAGTGCGCCTGATGGGAGGGTTGGGGACCATTGGGGGCCCAAGCTGGGGATATTGAACGTGTTGCACCGTCGGCCCCCACACCCTCCCAGCACGGCAGAAAATGCCCATGAGTCCTCGGCGCACAGGTCGCACGCCCACCAAATGGGCGCTGCCACTCACACAGGGCGGAATTTGGGAGCTCGCAGTGCTTGCAGCCATGGACTCGGCCCGCAACCGGACCGGAGTGGATCCGACAGGCCCTGCGGGCGGTCCCTCCGGAGTACCTTAGCCTGGTGCTGGAGCGCCACGAGGCTGGGTTTGGCACTGACCTGACCCTGGTGAGCAGCAGAAGGGTGAGGATCCCGTGCTGCCTGAAGGAATACTGGTACGACGGTGGATGATATAAATCCTGCATTACCTTAAGGACCCTAAACTATGGGAATAATGGTATATTCCTCATTATGGGTAATGCAGGATTTATACCATCAACCGTGGTACTACTGTGTTCAGACCTGACCTGTAATATAGTGCCAAGCCAAAGGTTTAGGGTTCTGGACCCAGAACCCAGACTGGTGCAAAGCCCGAATAAGCTCCCTACTTACCTGCTTGTTTCTAGAAGCGCCCCTAGCCAACAAAAGCAACAACACAGAATGCCTTAAACCCCAAAAGCACTATAGACCTAAATCCTAAACCCTAAACCATAAACCCCAAACCCTAAACCCTAGACCCTGAACCCTGAACCCTGAACCCTAAACCCTGAACCCCAACCCCCCCCCCCCCAAACAAAAACCCTAAACCCTGAACTCTAAACCCTTAACCCAGAGAATCTTGGAGTGCTCTGAAAACCACAAGGCACCAAAAAAGCACAAAAGCCTCATATAATATGGCCTTTGGGCCCGAAAGCCTTAATATATGAGTCCCTAGATGCCTAGGGTTAACCCCAAACTCTAAACCATAAACCCTGAACTCTTAACCCTAAACCCGAAAGCCTGAACCCTGAACTCTAAACCCTGAACCCCAAGGCACCAAGTATCTAATAATCATATACTCTCCGAAATCCTAACCTACATAACTATTATCCCAAAACCGAGTACCTGATCATTGGGTCCTTTGGACCCTTAGGGTTGACCCCAAGGCACCGTGATTGATTGGTTTCAGCCTTGGCCAATGGACGCCCTGTGCCTTCGGCAGAATGCTTGGGCCAAGGGGAGGGGGGCCTCCAGGGAGTTTAGGGTTTAGGGTTCAGGGTTTAGGGTTTATAGGGGTTTAGGGTTTAGGGTTTAGGGGTTTAGGGTTTAGGGTTTATAGGGGTTTAGGGTTTAGGGTTTAGGGGTTTAGGGTATAGGGTTAAGGGGTTTAGGGTTTAGGGTTTAGGGTTTAGGGGTTTAGGGTTTAGGGGTTTCGGGTTTAGGGTTTAGAGTTTAGGGTTAGGGGGCCGTAGAGGGGGTCGTTGAGGGCTAATAATATGGGGAGTTTCCAAAAATAGGGGACCCTAATATAGTACCCTAAATAGTAGGACCCTTCGTATAAGTTCCCCAAAGTAAGGTACCCAGGACTGAAGGTTCTAAAAGCATTCCGCAAGGGTTCTGCCAGGTTTCTCCGACTCTAACGGTTCACTGGCATGGTACGAATGTGTTTGGAGTCTGGGGCGTTGTATTGAGGGTTTTCAGGGCTTGTCTTTGGTGGTGTTCAAGGTTTAGGGCTTTTCTGGGGTTGAGAGTGTAGGGCTTTTTGCAAGGTGTGGGGTTTGGGGCATCATGGGAGTGGTGAGGCTTCAAGTGTGGGGACGTGATTGCTCTTTTCAGCTTTTTCGATGCTGAGCCTAAACCTAAAAACCAAGGGCCGACAAAACCAAGGGCCGACAAGCTCTATACAACCTAAAACCTAAGCCTCAACCCGAAACCTCAAACCCTAAGCCCTCAACCCATGCGACTGGAGCTAAGGTCAAAAAGAGGAGCTTCTTGACAACAAATCTGCCCTAAACCCTAAGCCCGACAAAAGTTCTAAACCCAAACCCTAAACCCTAAATCCCAAACCCCAAATCCTAAACCCCAAACCCACACTTAACCCCATACCCTAAACCACAAACCCCAAACTCTAAACCCCAAACCCAGACTGAACCCCATGAGTCCCCTGGCAGGTACAACGTCGGCGCCAAGTTCCTGGAGCCGATTGAGCAGCTGGGACCACAGGCACGGCCGACAAAAAGAGCGGTGGAGGATTGATATAGTGGGCTAAGAATTAGGGGTTCCTTAAAGGGATCTATAAGGGTTCTAGAAAGGGTTTAGGGTTTAGAGTTTCCGAAATTAGGGGTACCTCATTTTGGGGGTCCTTATAATAAGGATCCTACTAATTAGGGTACTACATTAGGGTCCCCTGTTTTGGGAAACCCCCATATTGGGGGCTAAAAATTACCAATTCTAGTTGGGGGTTCCTTATTTTATAAGTCTAGTATGATGGGCCCCAAAACTCTATTCAAATTCAGGGTTGAGCGTCCTCGGGGTCGGAACCATTTGAAATGGTGTTCGCTTGAAGCCCCTTCCAATTCAAGTGCAAGTGTAGCGAACCACCGACAAAGTCTCAAGGACCCCCGCATTATGGGGTTCCAAGATGCTGCAGGGTTGTCCTGAAGGCGGTTGTGGGGGATGCTGATTCCTTTTTGGAACCTATTCCTTCAAACCTGCTTCATACTATGATGTAAACTTGGATAGACATCTGACCCCAACAGACCATTCTGAGCATGGTTTTGCGGCACCTAGAATTCCATACTAGCAGTTAGTGTATATGGACCCCACCCTCAAACCCCAACTAACACTAAACCGCGAAACCCTAAAATCCCAATTGAACCCTAAACCCCAAAACCCTAAAAACCCCAATTGAACCCGAGACCGCAAAACCCTAAAACCCCCAATCGAACAATAAACCTCAAAACCCCCTAAACCCAGAAGCGAAACCTCCGAAGCGAAGACTCCGCAGGACAGCCCCGTGCGACAGGCGCGGCCGAGAGAGATCGAAGTAATGCCTGGGGCTAGGACGGTTAGGTGTTTAGGGTGTAGGATTTGGGGTTTAGGAGCTAAGGGGTTTAGAGCTTATAGGGTGTGGGCGTTTAGGGTGTAGGATTTAGGGTTTAGGGGCTAAGGGGTTTAGAGCTTAGGGTGTGGGCGTTTGCGGGTGTAGGATTGAGGGTTTAGGGGTTAAGGGATTCAGAGCTTAGGGTTTAGGCGTTTAGGGGTGTAGGATTTAGGGTTTAGGGGCTTGGGGGTTAAGAGCTTAGGGCTTAGGCCTTTAGGGGTGTAGGATTTAGGGGTTAGGTGTTTCGGTGCCTAGAGCTTTGGATTAAGGCATTTAGGGGTGTAGGATTTAGGGATGTAGGATTTAGAGTTTAGGGGTTAATCGTTTTTGGAGGGTTTAGGGGTTTAGGGCTTAGAGTTACTGACTCTGGTGTGGTTTTGAGTTAAGGGTTCTACTGTTGGGGTTTGGGGTTTAGAGTCGAACAGGATCATTAGGAACCCCACCCAAACATCGACCTCGAACTCGAACAGTTCCAGTTCCAGTTCGAGGTCGGGTCCCACTTCGAGACACCCCACCGTCCCTGACACTCCAGTTCGAGACACCGGACCTTCCCCGACCCTCTCCCCTCAGCTCCGGACCCTTGTTAACTCTGCAACTCGAGCTCGAATCAAACAGTTCAGTTGTGGTGCTTGTGCTTAGCAGTCGTCGTCGTCGTCGTCGTAGTCGTAGTAGTAGTAGTACTAGTAGTAGTAGTAGTAGTAGTAGTAGTAGTAGTAGTAGTAGTAGTAGTAGTAGTAGTAGTAGTAGTCGTAGGATTTCGAACCCCCCCCCTCCGATAGAGCTTGTAGCATTCCGGACTTCTTAGAATGATTGGAGGAGCACTGCTCCTTCTGGCTGGTCTAGACGAGCCATAAGCCCCACTCATCAGATCATTTTGGCTTGTACCTGCAGTCGTCATAACCCTAACCCTACAGCCTTAAACCCTTAAACCCTTCAACCCAAAACCTTAAACCCAAAACACCATGCACTAATCCCTAATCCCTAAACCCGTAAACCCTTTAACCCTTGAGCCCAAAACCCTAATCCCTAATCCCCTAAACCCTACACCCCTAAACCCTAAACCCCTAAACCCTTAAAGCCAAAACCCTTAAACCCCAAACCCCAAGCCCTAACCCCTAAACCCCTAAGCCCGTATATCTGCTGCTGCCAGGGCATCATGGAGTTCCTTCCCTACAGCTTCGAAGCTGCAGGCCTCCGAGCCGGTTGGTGTCAATAATTTTCGGGTTTAGGGTCTGTAGGGCTTAGGGTTTCTAGGGTTTAGGGTCTAGTGCTTCTGGGTTTAGGGTTTAGGGCTTCTAGGGTTTAGGGCTTAGGGCTTCCGGCTTTTAGGGCTTAGGGTTTTGGGGTGTAGGGCCTCTAGGATTTAGGGTTTATGTCGTTGGGTTAAGGGCTTTTAGGGTTTAGGGGGTATAGAGGTTTGGGTCCAAGGTTGATGGCCTAGGCTTGTTATAGGCTGTAGGGCTTATGGGGTTTCTGGGGCTTACAGGCTCGAAGAAGCCAGAAGCTAAAGCGAAGTCCAAGAACTGCAAGCCTTCAGAGGCCAAGCCCCAAGATCTCCAAAATGATGTGCAAGCGTAGGGAGATTATGTTCATAGGAGGCCGAAGGTGTTTTAGCCTATGGGGGTTTAGTAGGGATTAGGGTTCCCATAATAGGGTTCATCATGTTAAGGAATCACAAACCCAAGAATTTTAACCCCCCCTTTTGGCCTCCCATCATATGTGCCCAAGGATTTCAGCAAGCGAGGTAAGCAATTCAGAGAGCAAGCATGCTCCTAGCACGGCCTTACTTGGGAGTTTCCGAAACTTGGGGGTACCTTCTTTTGGGGTCCTTATAATAAGGATCTTACTATTTAGGGTAGTATATTAGGGTTCCCGACTTTGTGAAGATGTGGGTCGATAGCCTGGAGAGGGCAACACTTCTTGCGGACGTTCCGCTGCAAGACGAAGGAGTCTACGGAGAATCCGTTCATTCGGGCCGCTGCTCGACTTGGTGGCTGCTGTAATATGGGACTTTCCGAAGAATAGTGGGGCCCTGTAAACGGATCCTTAAGGGATGGTTTTGGTATGCTTTTAAGGGATCTATAGGGCTTAGGGTTTAGGGTTTAGGGTTTCCGAAAATAAGGCACCCTAATATAGTACCCCAAATAGTAGGATCCTTGTTTTAAGGACCCCGACAATATAAGGCACCCCTAATTTCGGAAACTCCCATATTTCTAGCTCTGAAGCTGCTATTGAAGAGATCCTTCCTTCCTTGCAGTAAGTGCCGCTGATCTTCTCGCCGGGGATCGATCGGTGGTGCTTGCATGCTGCGTGAAAACCTAACCTATGCCGAGCGAGCGAGAGAATGCGTTTATTTTGGAGGATCATGGGATTACCTTAATTGTAACCCTAGTTACTAAGTCCCATGATCCTTTAAGTAGGGTTTAGGGTGCTTTTGCGCTTCGGTCCTGTGATTTTTCGCAGTTGTGAGGTCTAACACCCACATGGCCGCCTAACCCCGAAGACATAAACACAAGACCCTCACTGAGAAGAAGCCAAAAGCAGCAACTTCAGAACTGTATCTGACTGGACTGAAGCCTAAACTCTAAACCCAGAACCTAAACCCTAAACCCTAAATCCGAACCCTAAACCCTAAACCAAGACCCTACATCCTAAATCCGAACCCTTAACCCTAAACCCTCTGTTGCCAGGCAATGTGGCCACGAAGTTCATGGAAGTGCAGAGGTCGTTGAGGGCTTGCGGTAAGGGTCCGGGGCTCTTCGACTGAGGTTTCGGGTCTAGGCGGGGGTATAGAGTGGATACTGCCCCCACTCAGTAACAGCTGGATGATATTCAGAATATAGTCATATTAGGCCCCTAATACTAGCCCTATTATAGACTGTTTCGGTATGATAATATTCATAATATAGTTATATTAATTAGCCCCTTAATAGTAGCCCTATTATAGACTGTTACTGTATGACGGCAGTATCCAAGGTATAGACAGCAGGGTCGAGGTTGAGGATCTGGGGCTCGTAAAGCGTGGAGGTCTTGTGTCCATGGTGAGGGTTCGGTTCGCTTAGGTTTCAGGTGTAGCTTTATTCTCATCGGCCTTTTTGTTTAGAGTTTAGGCTTCAGGCTTTAGAATTTAGGGTTTAGGTTTGAGGATTGGGGGAATTTAGGGTTTAGGTTTGAGGGATTTAGGGATTTAGGGATTTAGGGTTGAGGGTTGAGGGTTGAGGGATTTAGGGTTTAAGTTTGAGGGTTGAGGGAATTGAGGGTTGAGGGTTTAGGATTCAGGGTTTCGGGTTGAGGGATTTACGGTTTTGGGTGTTGAGGGTTTAATTAGGGCTTACGGCTTCGGGTCTGGGTCAGTCTGTCCTCCTTGTTCCATGGCTTGTGTTTTGCTGAAGCATACATAAAGTGAGCGGCTGGAAGTGGAGGCTGAGGAAGACTAACAGCTCCAAGGATGTGGAACCCCACCAGAATCATGCATTCTGAATGCATCAATGAATCATTCATGCATGAAGCTGTGGATGTATGCAGCTGAGAGAGAGAGAGAGAGAGAGAGAGAGAGAGAGAGAGAGAGAGAGAGAGACAGAGAGAGACAGAGAGAGACAGAGAGAGAGACACAGAGACACACAGAGAGAAAGAGAGAAGAAGCAGCAAACAGAGAGAGATAGGAGCTGTGTTTCTCCTAGCCGACTACTTTCCTTCTGGAGGCGATTCGCCTACACCACTCCGAAGAGTTTCTTGGAGTTGATCAAGCTGTACACCTCCATGGTGGGAAACAAGGCACGTTCTTTGTTAGGTGTTAAAGTTGGAGGGCTTCTGGTATGACTGTTCGGCTTTGGAGGTGACCTGAAGCTGTCTTTTTGTATGGTTTGATTGTGAGGGTAACCGTAAAACCTAAACCCTAAACCTTAAACCCTAAACCTTAAACCCTAAACCTTAAACCCTAAACCTTAAACCCTAAACCTTAAACCCTAAACCTGAAGCCCTCAACCTTAAGCCCTAAACCCTAAACCCTAAACCCTCTAGAGGTTGCAGGACAACAGCAGATCAACCCTTGAGGCCCGATCATTCTGAAGACCCGCAAGGACTTTAGGCTCTGGTGATTGAGGCTCACGGTCATCCTACGGTTTAGGGTTTAGGGTTGGGAGGAGGACGTTGTGGGAACCAACCCTTTTGAAAAATGTCTATTCGCAAATCTTCTCTTAGGGTTTAGGGCTTGGCGTACCATACCTTATTATTATTTCTTGAAGGAGCCATTATGAAATAAAGTTTGTGCCTGAGGCTCACAGTCATCCTCTGCATCCTCCATGTATGAGGCTTCCTATAGGGGTTCCTTTAAAGGAACTCTAGGGGTTCCGTAAAGGGATCTATAAGGGCTCTAGAAAGGGTTTTAGGGTTTAGGGTTTAGAGTTTCCGAAAATTAGGGGTACCTTACTTTGGTCTCCTTGTAATAAGGATCCTACTACTTACAACCGGATAATTAGGCTCCCCTATTTTCGGAAATTGCCATGTAGGGGTTGTAGGGACGTGAAGGAGAAGTATGTTTTACAAGATAGTTTGCGGGTTTCCTGGTTTGTTCGGACTGAGAGGGTGAGGGGGTTCGTCGTTTGCTTAGTGTTTAGGGCCTAGGGTTCAGGGTTTAGGGTTTTTTGGGTTTAGGGTTCAGCTTGGATCCAGGAGCGTCTGGGTGCAGAAGTTTGTTCATCTGTCGCTGTTATGTGCATGTGTGTTGGCGTGTGCCTCTGCCTGTGTATGTATGTGCAGATAAATGCATGAGTGGGTACACACGCACACACCTACTCATGTGTATGTATGTATTTATCATAGCTGTATATGTGTTCAGGACTCAGTCGCGCACAGATATATACATATATATATATATATATACACACACAAGTGCATACACGTGTAATCCATGCATACCTGCATACTTACTAACGTAAACTTAACTTAGCTTACTTATTTGTTTACTTACTTGCTTACACACACACACACATCTGCACATTCACCTCTCTACAGCAATCCCGAACATCCCAGAGCCATATTGGAGAGTGCTCAAACCCCGCACGCACCGGATCAACACACCCGAACCTTAAAGCCTTAAGCATTAGTGCCCCGCACCCCAAGACCCTAGTTCCCCTAGAGCCCTGATGCCCCAAACCCTAAACAAGAATTAACACATGCACTGATTCTATCAACCTTGAGCCATTTATCAAATACTGATTTGGACACTGCTTAATCATACTTCCAATCATACTTTGGTATACCTCGACACCGTTTGATGTGAGTCATTATTCAGGCACCTGTATGATGACCCTAAACTCTTCAACACCTCAGAATGCTCCGCTCGAGTCATTCTGAAGGCCCTTGTATCAGCCTGCCTGTATCACCAACCCGCGAGCCCTAAACCCCTAGTCCCGAAACCTTGGCCATCTTCGATCAGGTCGATGCCTTGGAAGACCAGAAGAACCGCTTGACTAACGGTCTGGAGAAGCTGCACGCCACCTCCGAGCAGGCCCGCTTCAGGTGTTGTGAGGGCGGGCTCTAGGGCTCTGGGGAGTAGGGTTTGAAGGTTTGGTGGTTTAGCGCTTAGGGTCTAGGCATTTACAAGGTCCCGATTTAGTGTAATTGTTGATTCTCTGGTTTGGTTCTTGTAGGACCCGGGCTGTTGATATCGAAACCTAGTTTAGGGTTTTGAGGATGCAGTCTTGCTAGGGTTTCGGATTTGGAGTTCTGGATTTAGTGGTTGGGGCCAAATTCAAGGACTTCTCAGGTGTTTGAGGTCAGACGGATTTATTTTCGTGTCAAGAAAACCACGGAAGCCGTTCACTGGCCACAAGGGACCATTCCCTCAGTGCCAGTGCCGACAAGGCCAAGGGTGAAAGTATCTATCTCTAGTTAGTCTGTGCTGCTGCTTCTTCAGCTGCCACGTGCTTAGACCCAAAACTCTAATCTCTAAACCCCGAACCCTCACACCCCAAAGCCGATCTCTAACCCCTAATTCATCCCCAAACCCAATCAAGACCCCCAAAACATCAAACCTCCATACATGGCGCATGAAAGTTCGATGGCCCTTGTTCCCCCGATTCACGATTTTCTCACCCATCTTCAGTGTAAGTTTGAATTTGCAGGTGAACAGCTGTATCGCTGTACGAGTTCTGGATAGTTGTGAAACGGGATTCTAGGGTTGATGACTTTTTGAGAAGGGGGTTTGGTCAGGGTTCTGCACGATATGCTTTGGTAATCCGGCAAAACCGAAACCCTAAACCGTGAACTCTGAACCCTAAATAAAACACCGTGCATGGGAGCCTTCGACGGCAGGGTGGTATGAGATCCTTTGTAAGGAGGTCGGTGTTTTTGGAGGGAGGTGGTAGTATCAAGTATGATTCTCCCCAGAGGTCAAACGGGCCTTTGTGAGACCTTCGGTGTTTTGGGGACCCCGCAAGCAACCTTACCCGCAGTTAACATATAACTATCATGCACTTCCTTACTTGAGACTTGCTGGCACGAGCTCAGAGATGCGGATCTCGCAGAGTTGTGGCATTCTTTGCCATCTTCTCAGACCCTTGACTCCGAACACCCCCCCCCCTGGCTCTGATGGCTGGGAGAGACTGTCCTTAATTGCTCCGGACTCGCCTGACGGTTTCTGCCGCACAAACAGATGGCCTGCTTTGAGGGACACCTTAATCAGACTCTACGGCATGTCTGTTGAGCATTGATTGCAGCCTTGTGGCCTTGAGCTTCTCTGGTGCATTATTGCAGCCGCTAAGTGCAGCGAGCCTCTTTTGAGCAGTCGCTCTGATCTGTCAACTCAGCTTTTTCCTGGCAGTAAGCAGACCTGCACCTGCGTCATACCCTACCCTTTCTGTGGTCGTTGTGTTCCTAGATACTAGGTAAGAAACCCCAGTCATAAAGCTGCGTAGGTCTCCGATAATGTTCAAGGAGGTAGGGTATGAACTGTTAGGTTGAGCTTTCACCAATTCTTCAGACCCCTTTTTTCAACTCAGATAGAGATCGTACGCACTACCTAAACCCTAAACCCTAAACCCTAAACCACTAGGGCACTAGGATCATCATCCGAACGCTTCAGAAGGCGACCCTAGATCTCCAAGCCCCAGGGCTTAACCGTTTAGGGTTTAGAGAGTTTAGGGTCCCTTTAAAGGGATCTATAAGGGCTCCCATAAGGGATCTTTAGGGTTTAGGGTTTAGGGTATAGTACCTATAGTCTCCATTGTTGTAGTTCCTTTTTTTGGTTAACCAGTTTTATGGTTAGGACACTATAATCGAGATTTTGGTCAACCAAAAAAAGGAACTACGATGGAGACTATAGGTAGGGTTAAGCCCGATAGCTTGATAAGCCCAAGCCCGACCCACTCTAAACATCAACTCACCCCCCCACCCCCCATCACCGGCAACGGACACTTCTACGCAGAATATGCGAAATAGAAAACACGACAACGACGACAACACACACACACACAACGAAAAACAACGATCAAACATCGAGATCCATGTGCTGCTTCGGGCGCCATTTCTAGCAGGTTGCAGGCCTCGAGGAGGAGCTGAAGGAGAAAGCCGTGGTCGTGGCAGAGAAGGCCGTCCCTTTGGGTTTGAGGATTGAGGAATAAGGAGTAAGGGTTTAGGATTTAGTGTGCAATTTTCATATATGTGTTTATGCCATTCTGCTTATACGGAGATATACCGGGTCGTTCGGTAGGCTTTTACAGTGGTACAGGGCCTTAGAGGCTTTCGGCCATTGCATAGGTCGAGATCAAGATCTAGAGTCGTTCAGCTGTAGCCCGGGGTTGAGGTGGAGCGGAGGTCCATGATTCGGTGGTTTAGGGTTTAGGATTTCGGGTTTAGGGTTTTAGGGCTTGCGGTTTATGACCTTAGGATGGTCGTTCTAGGCAGCCTGTGAATGCAACGCGGATGCGTGTGCAAACGCCACAGGTGCTCAACAGAGACGCAACCCTGTTCGTCGCCAGCCTCGCCGGAATCAAAAACCCAAACGAGCATGCCTGAACATCCCTGCACCGTTAATGAGTAAAGCCAAAGCCTAGCCGGATCCGTGACGCTACTTCATCTTTCGGCTAGTTGCAGAGTAGGTAATTTGTGACGTTTTCGGGGCATTAAAATTAACCCCGAGAAAGTCCCAAAGGTGAGCCTTTAGTTCTCCGAGGATACTGGACCAGCTAGTTTCAAGCTTCGAATTGTTGCATTTGTTCCCCTGAAACATCCCCCATTCGCAAACCGCAGCCCCGCGCAAAGACTAAAACGGAATCCCTGCCAACTCTACACCCCCAGGCCGAAACCAAGACAACGCCCTAAATCCTCGACCCAACGCGTACGGTTTAGGATGCAGGGTTCAGAGTTCAGGGTTTTGGGTTAAGGGTTGAGGGGTGTAAGGCGTCAGGAGCCTTCGGTTCAGGGTCACCTTGTTCTGGATCAGGCGGCAGCCGCCGATGTCTTCGCCAAGGAGGCCACGAAGAGTTGTGCTTTGGAGTTTTCAGCGTAGACGTCGCGATGCCAGGTCTGGGATACAGGCTGCAGCTCTAGGGTGCAGTGCAGGCCTTAAGCTTAACAATGTTAACCACAAATAATGGTAACAATAATATCAATACCAATAATGAGAAGAAGGAAATACTAATGTTGGATACCGATTAACAAACCCCCCCCCGCCCCCCCCCCCCGCTGTCAAGGTTAGCCCGCTTGAACTTGTTCATGGGTTCAAGTTTTTCCCGGCCCCCCCCGATTATGTGGGGATGGGGTTACTTATTAAGTAATAGAGAGTAGTTAGTAAAGTATTGCAGTCGTACAATAGGAGTAGAGTATTATAGTAGTAGTACAGTAGTATAGTATAGTAGTAGTACAGTAGTATAGTAGTATTACAGTAGTATAGTAGTTGTACAGTAGTACAGTAGTAGTACAGTAGTATAGTAGTATTACAGTAGTATAATAGTAGAACAGTAGTATAGTAGTAGTACAGTAGTATTACAGTAGTATAATAGTAGAACAGTAGTATAGTAGTAGTACAGTAGTTTAGTAGTAGTATTGAAGTCTAGTAATAGAAACAGTACAGTAGTATAGTATTATTACAATAGGGGGTTGGGGGTTTGAAGGGGTTCAAGGACTTGAGGGGGTTGAGGGGGTTGGGGGTTCAAATGTGGCCGGCCACCACCTGTTTCTGCCAGCAAAAGATATCACCGAAATCCCAGGGATCCCAAGGCCAGGGATCTCTGACCCTTCCATCTCAAAGCTTCGGGCTTTCTAGGTCAAAGCCAAGGGCCTGCAAATCCCTGGTCCCGGGCCGGACCCTGTTAATCGGGGGGGGTTTCCTGCTATTCTGGGGGGGGCGGGGCCTGCAAAGGGGTAGCCGTGGAAAACTTGACAAACCTACTCTTTTTATATACGGTTTAATTAGGGAACCACCTGTTTCTGGCAGCAGAAGATATCACCGAAATCCCAGGGATCCCAAGGCCAGGGATCTCTGACCCTTCCATCTCAAAGCTTCGGGCTTTCTAGGTCGAAGCAAAGGGCCTGCAAATCCCTGGTCCCGGGCCGGACCCTGTTAATCGGGGGGGGTTTCCTGCTATTCTGGGGGGGGCGGGGCCTGCAAAGGGGTAGCCTTGGAAAACTTGACAAACCTATTCTTTTTATATACGGTTTAATTAGGAACCACCTGTTTCTGGCAGCAGAAGATATCACCCAAATCCCAGGGATCCCAAGGCCAGGGATCTCTGACCCTTCCATCTCAAAGCTTCGGGCTTTCTAGGTCAAAGCCAAGGGCCTGCAAATCCCTGGTCCCGGGCCGGACCCTGTTAATCGGGGGGGGTTTCCTGCTATTCGGGGGCGGTCGGGGCCTGCAAAGGGGTAGCCTTGGAAAACTTGACAAACCTACTCTTTTTAAATACGGTTTAATTAGGGAACCACCTGTTTCTGGCAGCACAAGATACCACCGAAATCCCAGGGATCCCAAGGCCAGGGATCTCTGACCCTTCCATCTCAAAGCTTCGGGCTTTCTAGGTCAAAGCCAAGGGCCTGCAAATCCCTGGTCCCGGGCCGGACCCTGTTAATCGGGGGGGGGTTCCTGCTATTCGGGGGGGGGTCGGGGCCTGCAAAGGGGTAGCCTTGGAAAACTTGACAAACCTACTCTTTTTATATACGGTTTAATTAGGGAACCACCTGTTTCTGCCAGCAGAAGATATCACCGAAATCCCAGGGATCCCAAGGCCAGGGATCTCTGACCCTTCCATCTCAAAGCTTCGGGCTTTCTAGGTCAAAGTAAAGGGCCTGCAAATCCCTGGTCCCGGACATGAGCTGGTCTAATGAGGAAAAGTCTGCCATCATGAGTTCTTTACGGTTTAGGCTTCAGGGTTTGGGGTTTAGGGTTAAGTCATAAGCCTCTAAATCCCTAAATCCTTATTTCGGGGATTTTCGGGGATGGCCCCGTCTAATCGGGGGGGGTTTAAATGAGCTCCGGTACTATAGGGGTGGGGTCTAATGGACTTCTTCATTAAGCCCATGACATGCCCGGGACGGCCCCGTCTAATCCGGGGGGGTATCTTAATCGGTAAACGACATTAGATAGAATATACTAACAAGACTATAAGCATACTAATCATACTAACAGTACTAATGACTAATCATACTAACCATACTAACAATGCTAATAATGCTAATTATACAAAATTCTCATAGCACGAGTAGTACTCATACTGCTAATACTAACTATGCTAACAATACGAATAATACGAATAATACGAGTATGTCGAGCAATACTTATCTTATAAAGAAGAAGAGTAATAATATCAATAATGAGAAGACAATGAGGGCAAGATTAGGAACCAGAACTACAAAACAATATGAATATGAATGGCAGGAAGAAGACACATAGTAATAGTCGCTGGGTACAACGCTCCGGGCTTACAGGCAAATATGTTGAGAACACAGTTTTCTGCCAAGTAGTAGTTTTCCTTTGGGTGTACCTTGTAGCGCATGATTGTGATGAGCCACGCAGCCCTGGACCTTAGGTCCGGTCCGGCTGATGACAATGAGGACGGTGATGATGTTGACGGTGGTCATGTTCATGGTGATCATGAGTGTGATGACATTGATGCTGCTGATGCTGAAGGTGAGAAGAAGATGATGTGCACGATGTCTCGGCTTGTTTCTCTTCTCAAAGGCGTCCGGAACTCTCTGAACAAGACTTCGAAACCATCTTTAGTGCCCACGCCCATGTATTTAGAGGTTTCAGGGCGCGACATTTTGGGAACAGCTCTGTCTGTCGTAGTTCTTCAAGGCGATTTTGGTTCGGCAGTTGGGTTCACCGCCTCCCGGGTCTGAGACCCAGCGCCTAAGAGCTCGGATTGAGAATATGAGTAAGGGGTTTCATGTGGGGCTGTTTACATCCGGGCCTCCCTTTTGAAGGGGCCCTTGCAAGATGCTCCTACTATCTTGATGTTTTCTGGGTACCTTGAGTTACGACATGTCTGACGGACTTGGATGGAATTTCCTCTTAGCTCTGTAGGATCATGTTACCCTCTAACTAAGGTATCACCACCCCTTGAACCTGGCAAAGATTTGGACACAGCCGACCAGTAGTACCGCCAGTCAATCGAAGAGTGCCAGCGAAAATGGAGAGGATTACACCCCTAAACCTGAACCCCAAACCCAAGGCCCTGCGGCCTGATTTCCTAAGTCATAAACCCCTGGCCTCAGTCGTGAGTTCGAAACATGATACCCAAAGGCGCCCCAAATCCTAATCCCTAAACCTTGAACCCGAACCCTACAGCTTAAATCCTCAATCCTAAGCCCTGAAACCTTACACCCCTAAATCCTAAACCTTAAATCTTACACCCAAAATCCTAAACCCCAAACTCTAAACCCTAAACCTCTCAACCCTAAACCCTCAGCCCTTGACTGTGAGGTTGGTGAGAAAAAAGCCACGGTCGAGGAGGAGTCAAGCAAGGCCCGATGCCAACGGTCTTTGGTAGGATTCCTCTAAGGGTTCGAGAAGCTTGGAATAGGGTGTGGGGTTCCTTTAGGGGCTCTCTACAGGTAGGATTACTGGATTGGGATTAGAGTTGAAGGGGTTTACGGTTTAGGGACTTTGGGATTAGGGTTTAGGTCCTGGGTGTACGGCAGAGTGTAGGGTTCTGTACATTTAAGAGTTACTCGCAAGGGTGCAGGGGGTAGGATTCCTGGCTTAGGGTTTAAGGGCTTAGGGTTAGGATTGATGGTTTATGGTCTAATTGTTTAAAGTTGACGGTGTAGGGTTCATGGTGTATTAAATAGGGTTTAAGGATTTCGGGGGTTTAGGGACCCAACTCAACATTTTTGTAAGTGTTGGTTTTAAAGCGAGTTTTACGATTTTGGGAGCTAAATTGCGGGTTGTCTTGGTTGCTGGGGTTGCCTGCAAAAGGTGAGCTCCAGGCTTTACGGCTTAGGGTCGAGTGCAAGTTTTTTTAAATAAATGGGAGTCAACTCTATCTCGAGGGTCATCCCCGTACCCCAAGACCGGGGTAGGGTATGACCGTGCAGATCCCCAAAGGTACCACGTAAGCTCCAGGGGGCAGTCTGCCCTCATCTGTGCCGCAAAAACCAAGAGCCACAGCTCAGCTTTAACACAGCAAAACCAAGGCGGGCTACGTACCTTATATATGTACATATGTATATATATATATATATACGCATATAGATAGATAGATAGATAGATAGATAGATAGATAGTTGCTGAACGTGTACTCAAACCCTAAACGCCTCTAGCCGTAAAGAGCGAATTCTCTACGTGAATCTCGACGCCTGGGCTCTAGAGACACAAGTTACATGTTTGCTTGCTTGAAGACTCAAGGACGGCATGCCTCAGTTTACAGTACAAGTACCCCAAGCGAGACATACATATGTTTACATATATGTGCACTCAGAATTGTCTCGTTTGTTGAGACGTAGAGAATGCAAGAAAGCGCAGAGCAAAGTGAGGGAGGTGTGTCCAGCTTTCCGCGAACCTATCAGCACATCAGTCCTGCGATTAACCTCCAAGTCCAAATCGTTGGTTACTAGCAAACGTGAGCAAGCCCTATATCCAAAGCCCCAGCCGTAAACCTTACTCCTGAATGCTGGGCTCAAAGTACGGATGTTGCAGAGTGCCTGGTATGGCTGCGGTGCCATCCTGAGTGCACACCCTTGAGCAGCAAAGGTTTGTTCAAACGGGAAAAGGAGGGACCCTTAATGGGGACCCCTACCCTACAATGGGCTATATAATGGGTATATAATAGCTATATTAAGGGTATATACGTAGGGTCCTTATCAAGGGTCCCTCCTTTTACCCTTGGATTTGTGCGAATATTTAACTTCAGCGCCTTTGATCCAGGCAGCTGTGGAGGCCGAAAAGTGCGCCAAGATCGCCAAGGAGGCCTCCTATTTCGGATTGTTGGTGGGCTTTGAGATGGAGGACTCAGGACTTGTTGCAGACTTTTGATGTTCATGGGTTCCATGATGGGTTCAAGATTCAGGGCGTAAAGGCTTTGTGGGTTTTCCTGTTTCGGGTTTGTTGCTGTAGGGTTCCGGACCGTTCTCCAAAGCCCTAAGCCATGACCGTAAACTCAAGCCCCTAAGCTCCGAATTACGCGGGGTTGAACTTAGGTACGGCCCCCATACAGTAAGAGGCTATTATAGGGCTACTATTAAGGTTTCTATTATGAATATTAAACTATTACTGAGTAGGGGCCGTACCCAAGGTTGAACTACAAATCCTCACGGGTTTGGGGGTTTGGGTTTTAAAGTTTAGGGGTTTGCGGTTTAGGGTTTCGGTGCTAGCTTGGGGGTCTAGCGGTTTACTGGTTAAGGAGTTAGGGTTTAGAATCAAACCGCTCAGCCTCAAATCGGAGTTTCTGAAATGAGGGGGACCCTGATAGCGCTAAACAAAGCTCGAAAAGTGAGATTCCTAATGCAAGGACCCCGAGTAAGGGAACCCCACCTCGTTCCTAAATCCGATACCGCAGGGGACTGAGAAGTTAGGGTTCAGGGTGTGGCATCTGAGGGGGCCTGGGTCGTAAGTAACATCATCCTGGATAGCCATTGTCTGATAAGTTTATACGCTTTCTAGACTAGCCGAACCCCATCCAGGTGTCCAAAACCTTGAGCCTTGAGCCTAACGTTCCATCATCAAGAAACCCTAAGCGCACGACCCTGAAACCGAACTCTTAAATCCCAAACCCTAAACCCCCAATGCCTTGAAGCTGTTCTTGCAAGGAAAACGATTCCAAACTCTGCACCCCAAAGCCTTCAAGCCTTAAATTGTTCTTACAAGGAGAACGCCCAGGTGTCTCTAAACCCTAAACCCTATACACCCTAAACCCTAACGCCCGAAAGCCGAAACCCTAAACGCCCAGGTGTCTGTCCAGCAGGCCGACTGCGAGAAAGACCTGGCGGCTGCCATCCCACTGGTGAAGCAAGCCGAGGCCTTCCGCTCCGGGTCTAAGGTTTACCTTAGCCGTGAATAAGCTACCTTTTCAGGGTTCCCTGTTATGATTTCCTTGTAGAAGGCCTTAAAAAGGTAGGCTATTCCGGGTTAGGGTAGGGTTTAGGGTTTCCTTAGGCTTTACGAAGTTTTAGGTGCAACTGAGGGCTTAGGGTTTCCGGTTTTAGAGTTAGGGCTTAGGCTTCCTTCAATTAGGGCTTAGGGTTTCGGGTTTCGGGCTAAGCGCTTATGGTTTTGTCAAGGTTTAGGATTTCGTACTTAGGCTTAGAACCTGTATTGCGTTTAATATTTGGGGGTCAGGGTATAGGGTTAAGGATTTACACGTCCAAATAAACAAGAGTTAGGATTGGGGGTTGAGGACTAATGGTTTGAGGTTGAGGGCTCGGGCTTACTTCTTAGGGTTTCAGGTGTGCGGCGCATGAGTGTGTTGAGGGTTTCAGGGTTTCGGGGATGGTTCACGAGAGTTTAAGGTTCGACTTCTGGGTGCAAAGCACGAGGGCCTTGATGTTCGGGTGCAGGGTTCTGAGTGTTGATGTCCCGTAGGATTCAGTGGAGTCCGGATGTACAATGTTGAATTTGGGTCTTGAAGGGCTTTCTGTATTTATGGCCGGATGAATCCCATTTTTTCAGTCCTGAAGAGGGAATCCGAGAGAGCCCTTCACTTACCGAGAGCTCGGCTTTAAAGTGAAGGGACCCTAAGACAGCAAGCCCGCCCGTACAGGGTTTAGGGTTGTAAGGGCCGGCAGGATTGAATGCTCATCTACAGCTGTTCCTTCGGACATTCTGGCGCCCCAGGCGCCACTTGCGTGGTCGGCAGCTTAGGGTTAGGGTCTGGTTTTGAATTAGGGTTTCGTATAAGTAGGATTTACGCTTGAGTGCTTAGCTGTTGGGTACTCCCGGTCCCAAACCTTCCACTCCTGTCGGAAGGCAGATTTTGTTGTAGGCCTAATCCCTGCTACCCGAGGTACTCTTTAAACCCCCAAACACACCTAAACCCCGGCACCCTAACCCTTTCATCCTAGTCCCTAAACCCTAATACCCAACACCTATAAGCCCTAAATACGGCCCTGCTAAAGCTCCGTTGAAGCCTTCATGAAGCAATTGCCAGCACGTTACAAAACCGATACCCGACACCCCAAACCCTATACTCTATCCTCGAAGCCGTAAACCTGAAACCCTAAACCGGCCTAAACCCTAAGCCCAAAGATGCAGACCGTTGCAGATGAAGAAAGAGGTGTTTAAAACACGAAGCCGAAGCCCTAAACCCCCTAAACCTTCGACCCTAAAACCCTCAAGCCTAAACCCGAGCACCCTAAACCATATAGATCCCTTTTAAAGGAACCCTTATAGATCCTTTAGAAAAGGGACACACACACACACACACACCCACAAACCCTAAATCAGGCTGCTCTGGATGTGCTGGACAAGAAGGCCGGAGCTTCAAAGACCCACCCCCACCTGCAGGTATCCCTATTTCAGGATACCTACTTTTCTATTTGGGAGTTTCCGAAAACTCGGGGTGCCTTATTTTGGGGTCCCTTTAACAAGGATCCTGCTATTTAGGGTACTACATTGGGGTCCCCTGTTTTTGGAAACCCTCATATAGCAGATCCGGACCATGAAACTAGGTCCTGAAAAGGGGTTAGGGATGACCCTCCGGTTACCTATAGTCTCCATTGTAGTTCCTTTTTTTGGTTAACCAGTTTTATGGTTAGGGCCCTATAGTAGAGATTTTGGTTAACCAAAAGAAGGAACTACAATGGAGACTATAGGTAGAAGGCCAAAGGAAGAAGGCGGTGCAAAGTGTCTTTGGGATTGCGCTTTGGGGTTTGGAGTTTAGAGCTTCGGGAGGGCTTTGGGGGTTTAGGATTTTGGGTTTGGGGTGTAGAATTTAGGGTGTATAGGGTTTAGGGTTTAACGGTTTAGGGTTTAGGGTTTAGGGTTTAACGGTTGAGGGGTCTTAGGGTTGAGGGTTTTAGGGTATTTAGGGTTCGGGGTTGGCTTCGGGCTTGCGGTCTGGTTTGGATCTAAGCCCTGAACCTTGAACCCTGGGCCCAACCTTAAGCCACCACAACCTACTTTTTTGTAGGGCCCCTATATTAGGGTTTATAATACGAACCTACAAAAAAGTAGGGTTTGGTAGGCTCAGGTAGTCCCTAAAGCCCTCGGGCATTGAACCTTTGCAGTGCATGTCAAAGCTTGGAATCCGAAGACCGCTTGCCCGACACCTCTATGGGAGTTTCCGAGAATTACGGGTAGCTTATTTTGGGTTTAGGGTTTAGGGTTTAGGGGTCCGTAGCGCCCCAAAGGCTCCAATTACACCTCGAGATCTCGAAAACCTTGACGTGAATCATATCAGAAGTCTCACTTGCCATGAACTCTAAACTCCTTGAATCAAAGGGGAAAATGATGGACCCTTAATAAGGACCCCTAGGCATATGCCCTTAATTATATAGCTATGATATACCCATTATACAGCCCATTGTAGGGTAGGGGTCCCCATGAAGGGTCCCTGCTTTTCCCCTTTGATTGAACAATCCTGCAGCCTCCCAGCCCGCAAGTCCCGCAGCGAAGACGATGTGAAGGCGTGCAGGACTCCCAAAAAATTCGAACATCGAAGGAAAGTCCCCGGCTAGGACTCTGATCGAACTCCAGGAATCAAGGTAGTTGTTTGGTCCTCCAGACAGCCCTCAACCCTCAAGCCGGCCTTCTAGCTGTAGACCGGTACTGCAGGTGGAAAAAGGAACTCAAAGATCCCCATCTAACGTTTAAACCCTAAACCCTAAACCTAAAATCTGTGCCTGCCTGGCTTTAAAAATGAGCTCAACAAAATCTAACATCTCTTTGTCGTTCTTGGTTTGCCAGGATTTCCAGGAGCTGAAGGCCTTGGCCAAGCCACCCGGAGGCGCCTTTCGTGTTGGGAGTTTTAGGATCCTTTCTTAAGGGATCCTTTAAGGGGCCCTGTTAAAGGGATCTATATGGGTTCCCCTAAAAGGGATCTCTAACGGGTCCTGTTTAAGGGATCTATAAGGGTTCCCTTACAAGGGATCTTTATGATGAGGGTTTGGGGGTTTGAGGGTTTAGGGCTTCAGGGTTTAGGGGTTTCGGGTTTGGCGGTGCCCGGATTCGGGTTGAGTGTAGGTTCTAGGATTCAGGCTTTTCGTTTTAAGAGTTTCGGGTTTGAGGTTTTTCTACAATCTCGGCAACGTACTTGTGGCGTAGGTTCCTGAACGACGCATGTAGGGAATCAGACTCTGTGGAAAAGGCACTTTATGCTACTGTAGTTTAAGTTGGCAGTGAAGACTGATAGGACTTGGATTTTCGAACGAAGGGCCGTGCGGTTTGTGCTTTGGCTTCAGGTTTCGGTCCTTGCGGGTGGGAGGTTGTGGGCTCCAATCTGCAACTTTGTTCTGGCCTTTCCGATAGCAAAGATGCTAGCCCCCGAGCCACGAAGCCGAATAAGACCGAATCCCCAAACCCTGAACCTCTAAAGCGCAAAGACCTAAACTCTCGGACTCTACCGCCCCAATCCCCTAATCATTCAAGGTCTACTGAGTCTACCGGCCTACAGCCCCCTAGACCCTAAGCCCTAAACCCTAAACGAAATCAGAGAAGCCCCGAAGCTGTAATCCGAGCATGCGACCTCCTTTAGACTATGGGAAGCCTGATGCAGCCCCCTAAACTACATAGCAGGATCCTAATCATGAGGACCTGTATGGAAGGACCTTACCGTCATAATGTTCTTCGGTAAGGAGGCTTTCAAGGAACCCTGTGCTATTAAAGCCCGAATAATTACCTCCTTATGGTTCCCGATTATCAGTCTGAGTCTGCTCACTATACCCCAGAACCCCACCCTAAGCCCAGGACCCTAGACCGTAGACTGGCTTCTGTCCTCACGCACCCCACAGCCCCACTCCAAGTAGAAGCCCCCAACTGCTTGAGTTACCATAATGGGGATATACAGTACAAAAAATGTGGCCTTTCGTTTCTTTACCTATACTATTTGGGGGTTCCTCATTATAGTTGTAGTAGAATGGGTCCTGAAAGTTCTTATTCTAATTATTAAGGCCCCTATGTTATGGTACCCTTATAGATCCCTTCTAGTACCCCTTCAAAGGAGCCCCTTAAAGGATTCCTATTCTAATTGTTAAGGCCGCTAGATTAGGCTCCCCCTGCAACATTCGACGATGAAGGTGTCGACCTTGTCCTGGAGGCCGCCATGCACCTGCAGGCTGGAGACGCTGGATCTTTGACCTAGGGTTTAGGGCCGTTTAGGGCCGTTTAGGGTTTAGGGCTTAGCGTCGGCGTCGGCATTTAGAGGGTTTAGGGTCTAGGGTGATTCTATAGTGCTTGTTGCATGTCGCTCTCTCTCTCTCTCTCTCTCTCTCTCTGTCTCTCTCCGTGTCCGTGTGTGTGTTTTTTTTTTGTTGTTTCTCTCTCTCTCTCTATATATATATAAATCGAAACACCTACCTGCAAACCTTCCTTTTTGGTAATTGTGTGTTTGAGGGTCTTGAGGGCTCCGCAGGTTTGGGGATCTTGGCGCAAGGGACCAGGGAATGGGGGTTTAGGGCTTAGGGTATGAGAGTGTTGGTGGTGGGTGGCATAGCGTTTCGGTTTGAGGCTTCGGGTTGTGGTGTTCTACTGGTACTTTCGCCTTTAGTATGATTAATTAAGCCGCTAAGCAGGACATATGGACGGGCTTAATGCGTTCAGGGATATGCCCTGCTTTTCAAGGCATGTAGGTAGGCTGACTTAGTTGGAAGTTTCAGGTATCAGAGCTTGCAGGCATAGCGGTTACAGGATGTCGGCCTTTCTCCAGCCCTGAGGTCATGACGTCGGGCGTGCGGCATAGGGGTTTAGGACCCAGCCCTAAATCCTGAACCCTAAAACCCCAAGCCTAAGCTGCAATTCGGATGACTCATCACTGCTTAACCCCCGAAAGCCTTAATGCCCATTCCAAAGCTTAAGCGCCATGAGGCCGGCTACGACGAGAACATCGAGCTGGACAAGAAGGGGGCAGTGAAGGCACCTGGTCATTCGTAACGGCACGTGTGCTAGCATAGTGCACTTTGACCTTAACGTCGTTTGGTGGGGGGAAGGAACCCCTTTCCATGTAATGCCAGGGCATGTGCTGTGTGCATGGACCCTGTCGGGGCGGCTTTAGGGTTTCGGGTTTAGGGTTTAGGGTTTAGGGTTTAGGGTTTAGGGCTCAAGGCTTGGCATTGGCATTGAGGGCGAACATCTGTTGATTTGGGGTTACATGGGGTCCGCAATCGCCCAAGCCTAAACCCTAAACCCTCAAGTTTGTGCAGTCTGGTGTGTTGAGGCCAATAGGGTTCTGGGATTTGGGGTGGACAACAGCACGGCCGGGGCACCTCCTACTCGAACGGATGGGCAGTCAAGCATTTATCAGAACGAGATTCTTTCCGTAGCCGTGACAAATACATATATACATATATATGATATATGTGTATATATATATATATATACATACATATATATATATGTATGTATGTATACATATAAATACACACATACATGCACATATACATGCATATGCATTTACAATATATATATATATATATATATATGTATATATATATATATATACACATACATACACATGCACAGAGAGACGCAGAGACGCACAAAACGTGAAGCCCCCAAGCAGCAGCAGCAGCAGCGACCCAGGACCCAACCTGGAAGGGAGCTCAGAAGATGATGAACAATCCTGAGAAGTTCCTGATCAACCTGAAAGGCTCCGGGGATCTAGAAAGTAGATCCCCTGATTTGATAGCGGGTTTCTGAGAAGTTCGGGGATCTTGAAAGTAGATCCCCTACTTTTGGGGCCCTATACTACCTTTTTTGGGTACTTTATAACGGGTTCCTGAGAAGTTCCTGAGCAACCTGGAAGGCTCCTTCTACTTGCACTTCTCAGGGTTTAGGGTTCGGGGGTTCAGGGCTTTAGGGCTTTAGGGTTTGGGGGTTTTGGGGTTTAGGGCTTCAGGGTTTGGGGGGTTGGGGCTTTAGGGCTTTAGGCGTTAGGGGTTCGGCTTCAGGGTTTGGGGTTTAGGGCGTCATGCTGCTCTGAATTTGTGAATCTGCGGGCGTTCGGGTCTGCTTCGGCAGTGGTTTAGCAGAAGGGTCTAGTGGCTCTGTATTGTAGGGCTTTGCACGGGCTGTATATAGAAAAGTGCCTCTTAAGACGTTCCGGTTCAGGTTCCAGGCCTAGAATTTGAGTTTTTGAGGGTTTTAGGATGTCGGGGCATGGGTGGTCAAGATACTGCCAAGCTTTTTGTTGGGTGTTCTTTGCCGGTGTTTGCAGGGTTTCAAGTTTGGGTGTACACCGTAAACTCCTGAGGCATTCCCGCCTGAGGGCTTTTATGCCTGCACGGGTTGAGCTTGTGGATGGAGTTGTCTGAAATGCAAACTCTGCAAGTCTACACCCAAGCATACTCAAGCCCGAAACCCTAAACCCTAAATTTGTAGCTTATCCGAACCATGAGCCGAAACGTAGTTCATCCCTCTACGCCCTATAAGCCTAGGCCTTTGTCTCTCGTCCTGAGGCCTAAGCTTGAAGCTAAGGCCTTGCTGCTTAGACCTTGAAAACCCTGATCCCTCAACCTTCTAAACCCCCCGAAACCTAAACTTTCTACACCTAAGGCCCACATATCCGTCGTGTTTAAGATTTAAGATATAGGGTTTAGGGTATATAGGGTCCAGGGCATAGGTCTAGGGTTTAGTGTTTCGGGGGGGGGGTGTGCAGTTTCAGGGTTTAGGCGCTTGTGCTTCAAGGTGTAGGGTCTAGTTTAACAATCTGTGGTACCTCTACCTAAACCCTAAGCCCTAAACCCCCAAACTGATGATCCAGACTGCGGGCCGTTCACACATGGGAGTTTCCGAAAATTGGGGGGGGGGGGGGTACCTTATTTTGGGGTCCTTATCATAAGGATCCTCCTTTTTCGGGTACCATATCAGGGTCCCCTATTTTCGGAAGCTCCCACATGCGGAGGCTTCAAGGGGCACATCGATGACGGCAAGGCCTGGATTTTTGCACGGCTCAGGGTTTAGGGCTTTGTCATGGGACCCTCAGGTGGGTGGGGGGAGGGGGGTATAATACCCATAGTAAGGACTTAATAAGGCCTATTTTAAGGAAGTCCCCTACCCCCCTCCCCCTTAGGCTTGTAAGGGTCCCTAGGGTTTAGGGTGGCTGCGACTTTGCGGCTGAGGCTCAGGTGGACTGTGTTGTGGGATGGAAAGTGGTACTAGCTTGTTTGGGGGGCTGCTAGTAGTATCCCTTCAACATAATTGGAGTTCACACTGAGGTGTCCGCATTTTGTTCTGAAACCCCTGTGTGGGACTTGTTGGCAGTGCCAGGGTTGTGGCTTCATCTCAAAACTCTGACGAAAGCACTACAGAATGCCTTGGGTACGGCCCCCACTCAGTAATAGTTGAATAATATTCATACTATATTTGTATTAGGACCGTAATAGTAGCCCTGGGTTAGAAGCTGCCCCCACCCTGTAATAGTGGTATAATAGGGATATAGTAGGAATATAATAGGGCCCTAATATAATCCTCGTAGTCACTACTACAGGGTGGGGGCAGCTTCTAATGCATGGGGGCAGTACCTAAACCCTAAACCCTAAACCCTAAACAAGAATGCCCATGAAACCTTCAACCCGCTTGAGGCACTGACGCTGGAGTCTAGGTCCTCCCGAGGAGACCTGAGCCCGACACCATTTTTATCCCGGCGCGCCAGGGGCCGCAGCTAAGACCTAAAACCCTAAACCCCTATATATCCCTTATAAATCCCTTAATGGAACCCTTAAAGGAACCCAGGGAGCTGAAGATGCCCTGAATACTTAAAGGATCATGGGACTTAGTAACTAGGGTTATAACTAAGGTAACTGTACTTATAATTACTTATAACCTCAATTAAGGTACTTATAACCCTACTTACTAAGTCCCATGATCCTCCAAGTAGACCCAAGACCATAGCTAGAGGCTCCAAAGTAGTTCCTTTTTGGGACTACCTTCTAGGATTCCATATATGAACCCCAAAAAGGAATTACTTTGGGGCCGATGGGTAAGCCCTCGTAAGTTCCCTAGCTTTACGCCCTGGAGGCTTATAGCTGGGCCTAAAACAGGGCATGCTACGGGTTTCCGGATGGTTGATGTCCAGCCTTTGGGAGACGCTTCAAGGAAGACTCCCTGCAGGTGCCCCAGGTCAACGTGGAGAGGGCACGTAAGATCCAAAAGGACATGGGCGACGACTTCAGTCAGGTGCATCTTAGAAGGGAGGTTTAGGGTTTGGGGTTCAAGGTTGTAGGGTTTAGCAGCTACCGTCTCTATGTTACCAACAAGATTCCGTTTGATGTTTAGGGCTGAGGTTTTAGAGCGCAGGTCCTTAAGCCCTAAACCCCTAAACCCTAAACCGTTTTTGTTTGGAGTGTAAGGGTGGGGCCGTAGGCGGATCGATGGCTTTTCTGGGAATTCAGGTCTTTAGGCATGGGGCTTCGGGTTTGGGTTTAGGGCGTCTTCTAGAGTTCGCACTAGTTGCTGTTGTTCGTCGGAGTAGTGACATTCTATTGCCCTTAGGCTCTTAGTACTCACAGTTTAAGGCTTTTGGGCCCAAAGACCATGCTATATAGGCTAGCCTTTGGGCTATTTGGATCCTGAGGGCTACAATAACATACGTACAAAACCTGCTCGAAAAGCAAAACCCCAAATGCCAGGCAGCCCGGTGCTCTGGTACCTGAAACCGCAAACCATCAAGGGTTACGGGCGTAGGCCGCAAAAAGGATATACATGTGCCCTTAAAGGGCTAGGGCATAGCTGGAGGCCCTGTATGGTTAGTGCATGGTAGCTATAACCCTAAGGGTCCATGTACTCATCTAGTATATACATTGGCCTTAATGTAATCCCTATGTAGCTACTTTGGGGCTCATGTATCTCTATATGGGTACATGGACCCTTTAGGGTACTTGGAGGATCATGGGACTTAGTAAGTAGGGTTATAAGTACCTTAATTGGGGTTATAAGTAAATATAAGTACAGTTACCTTGATTATAACCCTAGTTACTAAGTCCCATGATCCTTTAAGTAAGGAGGATGTGGGGGCTACGCGCTATGGAGCAGTTTCTCGGGATTAGGAATGTCAGATTCGCGGGGTCGAAGTTTGACGTAGTCTTATCTAGGTTGGATTTTGGGACATTTTTTATTTTCCTTATTTGGGTTTAATTATACGGGACCCTATATGTAAATATTTTTCAGGGTGTTTAAAGGCCAACCCACAAGTTATATAACTGGCAGTTATATAACTTGTAGGCAGATGTGGGGGTGTCCGAAAATGGGGGACCCTCATAAAGTATCCTAACTAGTAGGATCCTTGTTATGAGGACCATAAAATAAGGTCCCCTGTTAAAAGAGATGACTTCCGGAGCAGATTCTCGGGATCAAGAGTCGGAAGACTTCCTAGCTGCCGCGTGCAACGGTTTAGGGTTTAGGGTTTAGGGCCAGACCAAGGAACTGCCCAAAGCGATCTCAAAAGCTTTGATTCTATGCTCTCCTCGAAGTCTAGTCGGAGGGGTTGTCTTCATAGCCCGCGTTGTATGTATAACCGCTCAGCAGCTCTAGCTTGTGGCATGGGGAAGGTAGTGTTATAAATTGGTTCAGGCATAAGGCTTGCAACCCTACGCAAGGGAATTGTAGGAATTACTAACTGTTCGACCCCCCCCCCACCCCCCCCTCTACCCCCATACCCTAGAGTATGTTTAAGGTTTGGTGTCGATTTGTTGCACCGTGGGCGTGACAATCGCATTTCTCTTCCTGAAAGAACCCAGCCTATATACCCGTTCAAGCCCCTTTAACAAATATCCCGACCCTGTAGGCAGCCCTAAACCCTAAAACCCGAACCCCTAAAACTGAGAGGCAGGTATGTCCAAGAAGTCTTCAGCAGCTGCTGGCCTGTGCGTCGTCGGGCCTGCACTTGGAATGAGTGGTGCGGATTTAGGGTTTAGGGTTCAGTGTTTAGGGGTTTAGAGGTTTAGGGTTTAGGGTTCAGTGTTTAGGGGTTTAGGGGTTTAGAGGTTCAGGGTTTAGGCTTTAGAGCTTATGGTTTCGGGTCTTACTGACGGTTTGTGGACCTGATCTCAACAATCGCCTTCTCTTCACGAGGGTCAGAGCTCATGATGATCCTCACTTCGATGCCCTTTTAAGAACAGTGGAGTTTAATCATTTGGGAGTCTCCGAAAATTAGGGTACCTCTTGGGGTCCTTAAAATAGGGGTACCTCTTGGGGGTCCTTATAATAAGGGTACCTTTTTGGGGTCTTTAAAAAATAAGGAGCCTACTATTTCGGGTAATATATGAGGAGCTTATGAGCCAGAGATCTCCTCAACCATAAGCCCTAAACCCGAAACCTTAAACCCTAAACCCTAAACCCTTAAAAAAGAGGAACCTAAACCCTAAACCCTTAAAAAAGAAGAACCTAGACCCTAAACCTTAAACCTTAAACCCTATAGACCCTAAACCCTAAACGGACTGTGGGGTTTATGAGCCAGCGATCTAGACTCCTGGGCAACTTCTACAACACCCTTCTGAAGCCCTACGAAGCATCAACACTGCCCCGTATAGGCCTTACACATAACCGGTATCCCACACCCAAACCCTATCGCCCTGAAAATTCCAAGGTCTGGATCATCAACATCATCATGTACTTCGACGTGGTGGTGCAGGTCGAGCCAAAGCGCAATGCATTGCGCCGCTTGTCCCAAACCGTCAGTACTTGCTCCCCTATATAAACCCTAAAACCCCTACACTCTACACCCACTCTCATGGAGGGTTTGTTTTAGGGGCTTAGGTGGTTACCCATACGATTTTGGGGGTTCCTTACTATGATTATAGTATAATGGGCCCCGAAGCCCCATTCTAATTATTAAGGCACCTATATTAGGGTCTGAGGATGTGGGATGTTAAGTCTTCCCACCTGGTGCCGGATGCAAACTGCCCACAAGGAGCAGCGTTTTGACACTCCTGTCATCAGCGCAGTTTTGAATCTGAAGAGTTTGCTGAGCCCCAAGCCTCAAAGTTTCGAGATCTCTGTTTTGTGTGCGTGCTGACATATATGCATGTTTATACATATATATATATATATATATATATATATATGGATATGTATACACACACATGCACGCAGACATACATACGTGCGTACCTACATGCGCACATGCATGCATGCCTACATACATGCATACGTACTACACACATATCGAGTGTGTGTGTGTGTGTGTAGATGTATGTATATGCATGTGTGTGTGTGTAAAAACATCTAAATATGTGCATATGTGTATATACACACGCTTTTCACGCTTTTCGGGCATAGACTCCAAGCGGTCGCGGCCCATCGGGCACCTAATTAAAGTGAGACAAGACTCAAGGGCCGGAGTTCACGTGCAGTTATATATACACCTATATATATATATATATATATATATATAGATATATGTTGTCTACACATATACACACACCAACCAAACAAATCGCATTATCAGGGCTCAAGAAACCCCAGACCCGAAATACAAAGCATGAACACATCATTCATTCAACACCCGTATACATCCCGAAAGAAGGTTACTGGTTTAACTTAGAGCTTCCCCCGGCAAACAAAAATGATTAGAACAAAGGGACGGGAACTAAACAACAATACCAATAGTATTTAGCAAGATAACAGTAGCACCAGTAGTACCAATCGTAACTGCGACGATAGCTAGAGTTTAATACCGGTGACAATCGGGATCATGAGAGTGGCATTAATAATGACATCTCGAGGCGAGGCCACCGAGACGCTGAACAACGCCAACACCAAGCTGGCTGAGGTCTTTCCCTTAAGGGTTCAATAATCTGCCTTTATGATTACCTATCTATTTTGGGGGTTACCTCAAGACCGTATTCTAGTTATTGAGGCCACTATATTAGGGTTGAAGGGCCCTAGACTCACAAGGCCTATGGGGCTAGCCTGTATGTCGCTATATACAATAGTACGGGTTCTATACCATAGGCTTTGTAAAGGTTAGTTCAAGCTACACAGCATTTGTTCGGGGGTTCTTGTATTAAGCACCTCAAGGGTCTGTACTATGGGTTGCTCATTTCCTGAGTATTAACTGGCCTGTTACAATAAGGTGCTTAAGCCCAAACGCCTTGTAACATCTGGGTGTCGAGGCCGTCGCTGGGATTGCTGTTAAAGCAAGCAGCCACACAACCGGTTCATGTAGCTGCCGCGACGGACCAGCGTGCCACATAAACTACTGAAGCCCGCGATGTTACCTGTAACAGCGAACCTCGTTACTTTGGAGTTTGGGCTTACGGGCCGCGGGTTCGCAGCGTACACTTCTGCAGCCTGCAAACATCTCCATGAGTCTGATAAGGCCCTGTGCTGTGGTTGTTTTTTCCAGAGTCTTGATTTCAGAGATCGGCCACTTTGCGAGCACAGGCGCTGCGAAGTCACGAAACCCGGTCACCTGTATCATGGGTAGGTATAAGAAACTGGGCTCCAAGGCGCTACCTTGCAAGCCGACACATCCTAGCAATAAGCCTCTGTAGTAAAGACCTCCCAGCACTGTGACCAGCAAGTATCGGACACACCGTTTGAGGCTGAATTCGGCGTTCGTTGTGGCGGGGTCATGGCAATGAGGATCTCGGTATTTAGGTTCTGGGAGCGTCTTTCCTTTATTGAATTCATTGACCCTAAACCCAAAGCCCTAAACCGAACCCTAAACCCTAAACTAATCCTAGATATTTCGGGCTTGGGCAATTTGGAGGGCTTACAGTGCTTACAGGCTCCAGTATGTAGTGTCTATCATCCAAAACACTTGTGGCCCCTGTGATATAGTACCCTTAGTAGCAGCCCCCTTAGCCCCGTAAGGGTCCCTACTGTTGATGATATAAATCCTGCATTACTTTAAGGACCCCAAACTATGGGAATTATGGTATATTCCTTATTATGGGTAATGCAGGATTTATATCATCAACCCTATGACTCTACAGCAGTAGGTGAAAGAGCTCGTGCGCACCTTGGAGTCCAATCTGGCGGCGCTGAATCTTGGCGAATTGGGTTTACACGGTTTCGAGGGGCTTAGGGTTAGGGCTAACCCTAAACCCTAAACCCTCAACCCTGAACCCTAAATATTGGGTTTAGGGTTTGGGGCTGTAGTAACTGTAGTAGGGGGTTAAGGGTTATTAGGGGGTTTCAGCCTCTAGGTTAGTCGGTTTTAGGGGGTTAGGGGTCATACGAGTTGGGGCTTAGGGGGCTAAGCGTTTAGGGCTTTAGGATCTAGGGGGTTTAGGGGTGAGGAAGCCATGACCCCTCAACCCTAACCTTAAACCTGGATGCTGAAGGAATTTGAGCAAATAAAGAGCCCTAGTATAGACCTGCAACAATATCCTCATCATCGAACCTAAGGTCTCCCGCCAAAACAAGATTTCCCAGTTTTACACCGCCCCGGAAAAAAGCACAACTATTCCTAAACCCCAAGCACTCATGCCCACAGATCCCTCATCAACCACGTAGCCTGCGGAAACCCTATAAGCCCTAGTCCGTAAATCAGGGTCCCTTCTGGGGTCCTTTCCAGCAATGGTGCCGTACTATTTTTGGGAACTGGCAAGGGACCCTAGTTTAAACCCTAAACGCTAAGCTTAACCCTAAGCCCCAAACCCTAAACCCTAAGCCCCGAGCCCCAAACCCTCAACACTGAAACCCCAAACCCTAAACCCCAAGCCCCAAACCCTAAACCCTGAACCCTAAGCCCCAAACCCATAACCCTAAACCCTAAAGCCTTCGAGGATGAAGGAGTTTGACAAGGCGATGGCCGAGAAGAACGCTTTGATGGCCGATGCAGAGAAGTGCTTTGGTTCTTTTGGGTTCAGGGGTTTAGGGGTGTAGGGATTTAGGGGTTTAGCGTTTAGGGTTTAGGGTTATGGGCAGGCAACAGGTTTTAGAGTTCTTTTGGGCTTAGGGTTTGGAGTGCGGGGTTTGGGGTTTAATTAGGATTTGAATAGCATTCTTCCTGGATTAGGGTTTCTAAAGAATTCCTGAAAAAGTCCCTTTGAGGGTTCTAGTGCGATTCTGATAAGGTTCCAAAAGGGTTCTTCATACAGGCTCAAGGGTGCTTGCAAGGGGAGGACATGTGGTTTGGGTTTGAGGATGTCGGTACCTGTATCCGAAAAGACCTACCTTTTTTAGGGTTCCTTATTATGGTTTCTATATATAGATCCTCAAAAGGTAGGTCTTTTCAGCTACAGGTAAGGCTTTTTGAGACTATTCGCGTTTAGACGAAGAGGGTGTCCAGAGCTTGTCTCGGGCACCTCAACACCCATTTTTTGACCTAGCTTGGATGCCCAGTCGTACCCTTATTGCCTTTTTGTAGTCCTAGGTTCCCTATAAAGTTACCCAATACCAAAAAGGGGGCCCTTTTTATTCCTAGGTTACTGGGCATCGAAACAGGGAACCATTGTAGAGTTCGGAATAATTGAAAATGTATCTCCTTAGTATTGTCCATAATGTAATCCTACTGTTCTACAAATCACGGCAATTCCCTTGTAGATCCCCTCAGAACCCTTACAAAGAAGTCCCTTCACCATTTCAGTTCCAGGGCACAAGTTGTCACAAGCAAGCCGAGCCCTAAACTCTGAAACCTGAAGCCTAAACCTCAACCATAAAACTTAAATCATCAACCCCCGAATCCCTAAACCCCTAAACCCCCTAAACCCCTGAACCCCTAAAGCCCTAAACCTAAACCCCCAACCTTAAACTTTACTGCTCTTAGGAGTTGTGCTTTATTACAATTCTATATGATATAACATAAGGGCTATAATACTGCTGATGGACAAAATCCTGCATTACCCATAATAAGGAGTATACCATAGTTCCTATAGTTTAGAGTCCTTAGGGTCATGCAGGATTTCGTCCATCAACAGTAAGAATAAGTTTTCCGCTTTGGGTTCTAAGGGCAGCTAAGTAAACCGCCTTTTCAAGGTGCCAGAACAAGCTCGACATGGCACAGCGTAGCTTGGTGAGACTGAGTGGGGTTCAGGGTTTTGGGTTTTGGGTTTTGGGTTATGGGTTTAGGGTTTTGGGTTTAGGGTTTTGGGTTATGGGTTTAGGGTTTTGGGTTTAGGGTTTTGGGTTATGAGTTTAGGGTTTTGGGTTTAGGGTTTAGAGTTTAGGCTGTTGGGTGTTTAGGGCTTAGGGTTTTTTGGGGTGTTGGGTTGGCGGGGGCTTATGTGGGGTCGCAATGCATAGGGCTTTGGGCTTGGGATTGGCTTGAGGTTTAGGGTTTCTGCTTGGAGGGCCGTTTACTTAGGGCTCTAGGTTTATATGGCATGCCTGGAAATTATCAGACAAACCCCCAAACAGCCCCAAACCCTAAACACCAACCCCAAACCCCCAAACCCTAAACCCCAAAACCCTAAACCCTAAAGCTCTAAACCTTAAAATCCGCTGCGCACCAGGCCTGGTCGGTGCCCTGGCGGCGAATGGAGTGATTTGGCAGCAGACCGTGGAGAACGCAGCGCAGGATTTCCTGGGTTCAGGGGTTTAGGAGTTTAGGGTGAAGGGTTTAGGGTTCAGGGTTTATTTATTTTTTCTTAACGGGTTTTAGTGTTTACAGTTTAGGGTTCAGTGGTTATACGGGGTTTCTTGGGTTTTATGTAGTGTTACATTGTAATGGGCTCATGGGATGATTCAGGGCTTAGGGTTTAGGTTTGTGGGGAAGCTGTGCGCAGGGAAGGGCCATGCTCGGGGTTTGTATTTATATGGTTCATGTTGTCAGATAGAGTGAGCTGTCCAGGTGAAGTTCGTGGTAACGAGTCTTGGGAGGTTCGTGCTTCCGGCTAGAACTTCGGGAGTATCAGATTGTCCATGTTGTAACAGTTAAGTCTCTTGAATGATGGTATCATGACATGAAGGACATTGAAGCCAAGGGCTGACGGACTGCTTCGTTCCGGTAAAATAGCACGACCCTGGGGTCAAGACTAAGACTTTCCTGGTCTTGGCATCAGCTCCAAATTCTGCAGGTTTTTCAGCAATCCAAGGGTAAAAGGAGGGACCCTTAAAAAGGACCCCTAGGTATATACCCTTAGTATAGCTATTATATACCCATTATACAGCCCATTCTAGGCTAGGGGTCCCCATTAAGGGTCCCTCCTTTTCCCCTTTGAAGCAAGGCAGGAAGGAGTCCCTATGGCTTCAAGTGGGCGGTTGTCAAAATTATGGTTCCCTTTTTGGGTCCCTATTACAATACGGCACCTATTATTTCGGGTACCCAAAAAGGGCCCATAATTTTGACAACTACTCAAGTAGCCGCGTAGCCTTAAGTGACACAGCGCGGTCTTCGGGCCTCAAAGCCTTAAAAAGAAAAGGAGCCCCCTACAACTTCGTTTCAGTCCGATCCCCCAAAATCCAAGACCCTAAACCCTAAGCTCTAAACCCCTAAACCCTAAACCCCTAAACCCTAAACCCCTAAACCCCTAAACCCCTAAGCCCCTAAACCCGAACGGCAGGAGTTGATCTACATCCCTGGCGACACCTTGGTCGCCTGCTCCTTCGCCTCCTACGTGGGCGTGTTTACGCGCCAGCAGCCTACCTTAAGGACGAAATGAACCCTAAAAGGGGTTAAGGTTCATATACCATATAGGAATTCATAGTATATGGGTATAGGGCCCCTACTTTTAAGGGTCATTTGGTCCTTCAGGTGGACCTGCAATTGACCAGGACCCTCCTTGTACCCTCAAATAGGGGTATATGGTACCAAGTCAGGGGCATTTAGGGTCTAATAGAGGGTAGATAGAGGGCCTACTGCAATTGAGGCATCGCAACCCCCGAAAGTTTCTATATGGGAGTTTCCGAAACTAGGGGACCCTAATATAGTACCCTAAGTAATTGAGGCATCTGCCGCAACCCCGAAAGTTTCTATATGCCTTCTACATGGATGGTTGTCAAAATGCGGGTCCCTTTTTGGGGTACCTTAAATAGTATAGGTGCCGCATGATGATAGGGACCCAAAAAGGGACCCTAATATTGACAACTATCCATATAAAGTTCCTGAAAAAGGTATGTCTTTCCGGCTGCAGGTAAACCCTGAACCTCATTTTGGATTTGGGTCGGAGTAATCTTCAGCGTAGGAATTGGCTTTAGGTCTAGCTTGAGTTGTTGCTTCGTTTGCCTCAAGGTATCGCGAAGAGACCGTCGATGCCTTCGTGCAGTACCTGACCAAGAAGGGCGTACCTCTAGGCAGAGACTTGTACCCACAACCCTCTACCCTAAACGGCTAAGCCCCTACATCCTCTGCTAACCCCACCAAAACCGGCAAAATCATGGCCTACAGTACTACAGACCCTGCAAGGCTTTCCAAACCCTGAACTCTAGTTCTGCATGAGCTTTGCTCACCACCGACTAGCCCTAAGCCCTTTTCTGCAAAAAACCCTGATCAAACCTATGCCACCATGAAAATGAACCCTAAACCGTAGAAGCCCTAGATCACAAAGCAATACCCGACAGGGCCGAAACCAGACCCCCTCGGCGTGCTCGCCTCGGATGCAGAGATGGCTTCATGGGCAGGCCAAATAAATGGGCTGCCAGTGATAGTGTAGTAATATGTAATGGATTGATTCGAGTTCAGGCGTTAGGATCTAGGGTTTAGCAGTTAGGGCTTCAGGGTTTGGGGTATGGTGGGATGATGGATTTGTTTTCGGAGGCTGTGTGTGTGTGTGCCCATTCGGCCTTACGGGGTTGCATTACAGCGTCTATGAGGTTTGACAAGCTTTTTGGGATTTTGGGGAAATCTGGCTGTGTTGGGCATTGTCAGAAGATCAGAAGGGAGCAAACAAGGACGCAACAAAAGCCATCAAGCATGTTCCTCCTGAGATTGCAGAACCCCCAAACCCTTACAGTCAAAATTAAGCCACTACCTGTAGCCGGAAAGACCTACCTTTTTAGGGTTCCTTATTATGGTTCCTTAAAAAGGTAGGTCTTTTCGGCTACAGACCGTAAACCCCAACTTCCACCCGGAGGACAGGGATTGCCCTCCGATCGGGTCAGCTGCGAGAACGGCGCCATCCTATGCAACTCACAGCGCTGGAGCTGCTCGGCAGAAGTGATTTCGGGCGTTATGTTGGTGCATAAGTGCCAAGAGGAATAGCGACGAGTTTTCTTTCAGAAATTATTCAAGGGTTTCGGGTTTAGGGGTTTAGGGTTTAGGGTTCAGGGACCATGGGCCATGGTCACCCAGGTTGATTTTCTCTTCGGTGGGAACTGTAAGACTTGAGCCTTGCTGCAGACATATGTATGTATGTGCATATACACATATACACATGTATGTATGCATCTCTCCCCGCCCGCGTCTCTCTCTCTCTCTCTCTCTCTCTCTCTCTCTCTCTCTCTCTCTCTCTCTCTCTCTCTCTCTCCTCTCTCTCCTCTCTCTCTCTCTCTCTCTCTCTCTCTCTCTCTCTCTCTCTCTCTCTCTCTCTCTCTCTCTCTCTCTCTCTCTCTCTCTCTCTCTCTCTCTCTGAGTGATAGTCCACGAGTTTCCTGCTCCCCATTCTAATTTCCAAGGTCCTTGTACTATAGTACCTGGCAAGGATGGACCCAGAAACCCTGTCCTGACAATCCCTCGGATGCCCTGAGCGAGGGATGCTTTCAGGTGAAGGTAGGGTTTACCCTGAGGCCCCATAGTGGTTCCTGTTTGGGGTTCATATTTAGAATCTTATGGGGTTATCCCCAAAAGGAACTACTACGGGGCCTATGGGTAGGGCTTAGGGGCTAACCCCGTCGTCATTCCCTGTTGCTTCGGATGAACTATGGTAGAAGCTATCTTAAGGGTTTAGGGTTTAGGGTTCAATTATGGTTTAGGGGTTTAGGGTTTAGGGTTCGGGTTTTAGGGTTTAAGTAGGGTTTAGGGTATAGGGGTTTAGGGGTATAGGGGTTTAGGGTTTAGTTTAGGGGTTTAGGGTTCAGGGTTCCCAAATCAGATCTGTTCGGGCTATGGAGTTTTACGTGGTGCAAGGTTTGTCCAAGGAATTTGGTAGTGATGCAAGAAGCGGCCGTTGTTCCAAGCCCGGCTCCAAACGACAGGCATCTTGCGACTTTGTGCTTTGCCTATAGTCTCCTTATTCTTCATTTCTGTTCATATAAACCTCAAGAGAATACTAAAAACATATTTCGATTATGGTTCTAAGGCTGGTATAGTTGCGGTTGAGGGTGTCGTCCGGGTTTTGGGTCCCGGCGTTGGGCCGAATTGTCCTTTGTCCTGAGTCCTCATTTGAACTCCAGCGGGCTGACCAATATGCACCCATGATGGCACTTACGCTCATGTTCGTGCACGGCCTCGGCAACATGAAACTTTGATGGTGATCAGCGTCAGCATCAAGTAGCCCTTGTGTTCCGAGCCACCCGACCCAGGCTTGATCATTGACCCGCAGCTGCAGGGCATCGTAGCTGGGCAGCAAACAGGGCAGGGCTCCGAACCCTTCGAATGCCCCACTGATTCCTCAAATGGACCCTGAACTATGCACAAATCAAGACACCCCGCACGTATCGTCTTGGCCCTGCGATGGTGATTAGTGGCTTTGGTGTGTCTTGTTTCGGTAGTTCCTCCAACGAGGAACCCTTTCTGTTCGCATCGTGAGGATCCTTGAACACGGAAACAAGGCAAGTAAAGGAAGGGACTGTAGGTAATATGGGGCCTGTAATGCCTGGAATAGGGTTTTGAGGTATCTTTTACTTTTTCGATACTTACTATATCGATACTTAGAGAACCCCAAAACAATTTATACTGGTAATTATGTAGGGCTCTTCAGCAATCTCCGCAGCATCGACCCGCGATATGCCTGCGCTTGAACTCCCGACGTTAAATTGCAAAACCATCACCACAAACCCGAGACCCCGAAACCCTGCGTCCTTGAGAAACCCCAAAACCCGAAATTCCGAAATCCTGAGGCCTCAAAACCACCAAGAAATCGAACCCAACGCCCTAAACTTAACGCACAACAAAAGTTCAAACGCTAAGCCCTGAATTCGAAACCCCTAACCCTACACCCGTCCCAAAGTTCTATAAACCCTAAACCCGAAAACTCCAAAGGCCCGAGCCGTCTTTGTTACGGTTCATGATATCGGATATCAAACCTGCACTACCTATAATAAGGAATATACCATTATTCCCATAGTTTCGAGTCCTCAAGGTAATGCGCAGGATTTATACCATCAGCCCTAAACCCTAAAACCCTACAACAGATCCCTCAAAGGGTACCCTTATAGATCCCTTTAAAGGGTACCTTTATACTTTGTAGATCCCTTTAAAGGATCCCCAGGACTTATACCATCAGCCGTAGGTGTGGATCAAGAACCGGGAGTCGGAGAATGGCCTCCAGGTGGACTTGCTTTTCGAAGGGGTTCGTTGAGGGTTTAAGGGTCTAGGGCTTTAGAGTTTAGGGTTTAAAGGTCTAGGGCTTTCGGGTTTAGGGTTTAAAGGTCTAGGGCTTTAGGGTTCAGGGTTTAAAGGTCTAGGGCTTAGAGTTTAGGGTTTAAAGGTCTAGTCAGGGATCAACTTAGGCAGGGATGCGCGTATGGCCGGGATAGCCGTACCCCTGGGGGCTTTTTCCATGGTGCACCACAACAGGGCATTTCGAAGTTCAGGCCACCCCCATAACACATAGCAATCCCCACATCTACTGTATCCATTCGTCGGGACTTGGCTACTACACCTGCAGCATGAAACATGAGCTGTGTAATTCTGTCAAACATGTCTGGACGGTCAACTGGGATGGACGGGATAGCGGTACCCCTGGGGCTTTTTATGGTGCACCACAATGGACGAAGTTCAGGCCACCCCCCACAACACATAGCAATCCTCGGGCAGAAACGTTATCCATTGGCCGGGAGTTGGCTACTACACCTGCAGCTTGAAGCATCTACGGTGTAATTGTTCCCAAACATTCGACATGTCTGGGTGGTTTCGAAAACTATGCTGATTGCATGCAGGGAGCAGGGCTTTTCAATTTCAAACACTTAAGAATAATTTCTGATAAAGGAATATATATGGCAGATGTTTTCTGTTGTTGTGAAGGAAACTTGAACTTCTTTATCATTTTTTGAGAAAACAACTCGTCGGCCCAACCCCGAGAACACGCCAGCCCTTGAAGCCCTGCTTTCGACTCGCCGGACACCACATTGTGCTCCTGACGGACACCAAGAATATCTCGCCGGAGCAGGTGCCTTCCGCCCCCCCGCTTTGCACACGTTGCTCATGGCTGTGATTTGCTCATGTCGCTTGCACCTGCATTCGTGGTTGAATTGTTGGCACATGGAGCAGGGCATGACGGATTGCTGCGCATTTGGTTCAAAGAGAGCCTTGAGAACTTCTAACTCGTTATCTACTTGTCGATTTTTTTCGCCTTGGCCATCATGTCCGGCCCCTCAACCCCTCGTGCGCCGCTCAAGGAGTACATGCCGAACGTTGGACCCCGGATGGCCACGACGTACGCGAAGGCCGAGCACGCGAAGAACAGGGAGGTGGTGATCATCGCCTACGGTTCGGAGATGAACTACCCCGATGGACGAAGACGCTTGCAAAAGAAATAGACATTCATCACGTTTGCACGAGACATTGCTTTGTGAACACGTGATTCATGTCACAATGACTTTTCAGGTGACTCGCCGTTGAACTCGTACTGCGCTGGACACACGGGGATCGTACAGGAGTATTGTCGCTGGGCTTTTGGCAAGGAGAACTTTACCTTTCAGACGGTGGACGTTCGAAATCTCGGACTGACAAACGCGGAGTACGACCAAAACACTCCGAAGGGTTTCTGAGCAGCAGTTCCTCAGTGTTTGCATGAGCCGTTCATGACAGGAGTGTGTGTAAGTAACAGAAAGGTTGCAAGCAGTTTCTTTAGTTCATGTGCGAGGCAACCCGGCGGTCAACTACGACGTTCTGAAGCACCTCAGTATTGGACAGAACGGCATGTGGCAAGCGCTGGTCTTACTCATTGGACTCATCTGGACGTGGTTCGAACTTCGTGGGCCACAGCAAAAACTCGCGTTGTTCTTGCACTGAGACTGTGCTGCAAATTAGATATCGGCGTATGTCTGACTACAAGCCTTTATTTAAAGTGCTTTGGTGTCTCTACTTTGAAGTTCTTCCCGTTGGTTCTGGTTATTTCAGAAAAAAATCAGGTGCGAAGGGCAAGCACAGGGCGGCTGGGACCGGAGCGCTTCTTTCGATAGCCACCGGTTTCCCTTGTTATTTCCCGACGTTCAACTTCCCCAACGTCTGGGACGCGCGGTTCTACTTCGTTCGACTACCCGCTGTTCTGCCGGAAAAGGACGAAATCAACGACTTCATTCTCTACGCGGCGGACTACGCGAAGTACCCCTTCAAGTCCGAAGCTCGCCGAGAACTCGCCTGGAAGATCTGTCAGGTCAAACACAACCTGGTCGAGCCGGACTCGGACCTCGCCACGTGGGTCTATGAGAACAACCTTCAGGACTCGCAGGACAACGAGGGGTACTACTCGGACACGGAGGAGGAAAAGGTTCTCGCAGACTTCAGAGGCGAGAACAGGACAGTTCGACGGACCAGGAGAAGGCGAAAGGCACCCACGCCGGACAACGCTGATGAAGAGGAGGAGGACAAACCCGTGGAGCAGTCGTCGAGCTCGGACGAGGAGGAACAGGAACCGGCGGACATGAAAAAGTTCGAGAACACGAAGATGTTCCCCGGAGAAGCTGTGGACGATGATGGCTTTGTTCGTGTTAACAGAACACGCAAGGGCAAAAAGCTCGGTCTGGACGACGACGTACCTCCCAAGATGTGCCCGGAGAACTACACCGCGGTGGACATGCTCGAGTTCGCGCTGTACAAGGCACGCCAACGCGGTGGACAAGTCGCGGTGGACAACCTCTGTTTGGAGATGGCCAAGGAGAGAGAGTCTTGGCAGAAGAAATAGCCACTCTGGTAGTTATCTCTGATTGTTGCATTCCACAGCCAGTCCAAGTCGGACGTCTAGATCTATTATTAGCCACTAGTAATCTGATTGCACAGATCAGGAACGCGCTGTACTCCTTTACAAAGCTCCATCGGTGGCCTCCGCGATGGCCCTGTACAAAAACCAGTTCGACGATCATGTGTGGGGGGCAACCAGATTGCAATGACAGTTTTCATTTTCATTGTGTGTTCAGGCAGGCGAGTGTGCACTCCTTGGTTAAATCAGGCCATGGCTTGTCTCGTTGAGCAATCCCCGTGGGGACGTGTCCTGGCCCATGACATCGCCAAACAAATGCGCAGTGCCTCGACGATTAACTTGGTGTTGTGCCTGCGAATGAATGCTGTGTCAGTGCTTCTTGACGGTCTGAGTCTCCGATGAAACTGAGGTAAGTTCATGGACGGCGATATCAGGAACCCGTCGAACTATTTCCTGACGAACATCAACACGAAGGCCAAACACGCGATGCACCCGAGGAGTTCCTTTGAAGCATTAATTAACTTTGGCTAGTCAATACCCAACAGTCCAAGTTACTCCTTGTGCACTGCCTTGTGTGCTCCTGAGTTGTTACTAAAAATGTCCTGGCACTGCTTGGCTTTGTCCCAGGCGACGACGAGGAGTTCCAGGCGTACAAGACGGCCAAATCACGCCGGGTCGAGAGACAGGCCAGGGGGGCAGGCGAGGGACCGAGGGACGGCTGGGAGCCGGTGAAATCGCCGAGCCAACTCAACCAGCACGACCTACCCGGTGGACTTGGTTGGGAACGTGTCATGGACTCGCTGGACGACGACCAGAACCTGGTCATCGAGGGTCGGCTGAGGAGGCAAAGGACGGAGGAGTTGAAACGCGAGGGCATTGACACGCCGGAGCATGGCGCAGGACACCCCTCGGTGGACAGACCTAAGGGTTCTTTCGTGCCGGACAGCCAGTCTTGGTGCCCACCCCAGCGGCCACCCATGCACGTGGAGAACACGGCGGACGCACCCCCCATGGCCCACCACGGCCCTCCACTGCCTCGTGGCCCACCCGCCGGACGTGCCCCGTCGACCACATCCAGCAGTGCAGCAGCTTCGTCTGGGCCGACCATAAGGCCAATTTCAAAGACGACGGGCAAACCCTTGCAACCCGCGACGGCCCCACCCAAGTCCCCGGGTCAGCCGAGTCAGTGGCTGGGACGACAGCAGGACAACGCGACGTGGAGCAGAGCGCTGGACGCACGAAGGCGCGAGGATATCAAACCCGCCGTTCCACAAGAAGCTTCCCCGAGTTCCCCACCCAAGCAGAAGGCCAGGCCCACGGCGCTCAAAACCCCTCCCGCCGACCCCCCGCAGGCCCCGGCCAAGGCACCCGCTGTTCCCTCCAAGAAAACCACGAAGGCCGAGCCACCATCGGAGGACGATCGGATGTCTGTGCAGTCCGCAGGTCAAAAGTCGACGACGTCCAAAATGGGGGTGCACTCGCAGTTCTCCGATGCCACGTTGGACACCAGTCTGCCTGGATCCGCGACGGCCACGACAAAGGACAAGGACAAGGCCAAGCTGCTCAGGGCCATGCAGATCGCAAAGGAAGAGATGGAGGCCAAAAAACTCGAGGTCCAGTTCTTGAAGCTGCAATCACAGCTGGAGGACCCGGAGGACGAAGATGAAGATGTCAACGTCGAGGAACACCCGGTGGACGACGACGACGACGTACCTGGCTCAGGACCCGGGCTCGGGAAACAGCAGCTTTTTCTTTCAGTACATATTATTAGTAATATCTTAAATAAGCTAGTATGCAGACTTGGGCTCCGTATCACTTCCTGCTGCAATTTGAATTGAAGAGGCATTCTAGTTCATGTTCAAACTACAGCCCAAGTCTCCTTCATCATTTCAGTTTCTTCAATGACATTGTGCTGTACATGAAGATACCCAGAATACATACATACATATATATTTATATATGTAAGTAAATTAAATACTTAGTTATTATTATTACAATATTGTTTCTACATGTAGTCTTTCCTAATCCATTATCCATACATACAATAGATACGTTGAAAGATTGCTGCTGCATATGCTTCTGGTCTAGCAACATCCTAGTCCACGTCATGTGTTCTAGTACCAAGATTATTCATTCATCTCTCTGTTGCAACATTAGTAGTTGAAGATATTCTGTTGTCAGAACAGGAAACAGTGCGTGGGACCTTCCTCGATCACGTGGGTTCATGCACCTTACTGGACAACTGTTGGCGGAAGGCACTTGGGTGGCGGGCGCGTGGTATTTCAATACTAGATAATTGTGCTTGCAGCAACAGGTTATTATTAGCTTCCAATTCAGGTAGTAATACAGGTGAGCATGGTTCTGCGACATTTTTTGTTGATGAGATTACTCAGCTATACACCGAAGTTAGACATCGGCAGTCGTTTGGTGTTGCTGCTTTGTCGGTTTCCTCCTGTTGTTCTTGCTGGGGCCTCGTAGCTGGGGTTTCCTTCTTATTCCTGGCTATTATGATTCGCTGCATGCTATCCTGACATGTTAGAGTTACTTGCTGTGGATTGCAATATTTATGAGAAGATACATAGCCTTTCCTGTCCCATGCATCACCCTGGCTTTGTCGCAGAATTTCCGGCGGACGATGGCACAACGGGCGATGGCGAGCACCCGCAGGAGGAAGAGATCCACCCGAAGGACGAGGACCAGGAGGAGGAGGAGGAGAACGCGGTGGAGGATGCGCCGGTCGACCCCCCGAGGACTGTTCCTGTGTCTGGACCGCACTAACTAACTCAAGGGATTGCATTGCAGTGTGTCACTGGTTCCCTGCTGCGTTTCAGCCCTCCGTGCAAGGCCAGAACTCCGAAGTCCACGCCGGCCGCTGCTATGTACAGACCCGTTGGACGATCGTAGCAAGCTTGATTTGCATGGTACACGTCGGATCTTGATTTGAAAAATAATATTATTGCTTAGGCAAAATACATTCAAAAGCATTACCATAGTTACCAGCTTTGTTTCGAGACCCGTCGTTCCAGCAAATCTTGTACATCGCCGGACAGAAATCTATCGCCGGACACAAATCTTTTTGCACATCGCTGGACAATTCGTGTGCACGAGAACAAAAGAAGTGGCCTGCAGATGCCTTGGTTGGCTTTCCACTGCTGTGTCATACGATTACAGAATTGGTTGCTTTCTGCCGTCAGGTGCCCCCAACGGCCAGGCATCGTTGCAAGCTCGGCCCTCAGCCCACTTCGGAGCTTCTTCCTGGATTTGATGTTCAGTAACTGGAGAACAAATAGCCATATCATTATAGACACGGCGTACCATATAAAGAGGATATGTGCGACTTCTTAGCAAGTCGAGGTGCACTGCTTCTACTCCAGCGTGGTTGGGGGTACCCTTTTGTTGCATTTTTGGGGGCTTCGGTTTGAGGCACGGTTTCCAACGGACACTCGTGATTCCAGCCTGTCTTTTCTAAGAATGCCTGAGCACCTCAACGGCTAGTTTCTCGGTATCGTATCAGATACATGAAGCAATCTACTAAGCGTGAGCACAACAGCGAATCAGTCCATGTCGCTCGGAATAACTTTAAGTCTACATCCTTATAATATTTCTTATATCCCAGAAAACCTCACAACAAACGTTTTCGAGATGCAATACACTTCCTGTTCTTGGGTCCTGGTATGTCTAGTGAAAAGGCCAGAGACATTGGTAATTACATGGGACGGAATTTTGCTGGGCTCTTTGTCTGTCTGTATTCCAGGTATTTATTTCTAGCACCCGCGGTACTGTAATGTGATGAAATGATAGGGCATTCTGTGGTTTCTTCCCACACAAGTCTTAAATATTTAGATTCAAAGCCCTGGCACGCGCAGGTCACCCGAGCGGACTTTGCATCCCTGCATTTCAACGAGGACGAGTGCAGGGTGCCCAGCCTTTCGTCTCCCAGTGGCATGCAGGAGAGATGCATATCTGGATGCAAAGCCATTGCTGCATTGTTTTTTCAGATTCCACTAGGGCTTTTCAGAGAATGATTTGTTGGCTGAGCTTGTCCAACCTGCACCCGCAGCTGCAGCTTGAGATCTTCCTGTCTTCTTCCCCTCGTCCTTCTCCTTTCTGCTCTCGCCGGACATGTCATCCGGTTCGGACTCGCGTCGTTCCACTCCGTTCACTCGCCGTTCCGTTCCCAGTTTTCTTCGGCCTTCGGACGACCCGCTGGACGAGACGCAGTTCGATTTTCGCGGGATGGACTATTACCTTGCATCTCGGCAAGGTATGGAGCCGCAGACAACCGTGGAGCTACGCAATCTGGACTATATCGCGCAGCTCCCCCCGTCGGTCCTGGACTTCATCCCGCTGGACGTGTCCGCGCCGTACGAACTCGAAATCTTCTTGTCGGACTTGCTCCTTACGCAGGCCTATTATTTTCGCCTTGGACCTTTCCCTGGAGTGGAGAACTGGGAGACACGATGGATCGAGACATGCTTTGGACCCCCGTCGAGCATCACGAAGGACACATGGCCCAAGACGTACACACCTCAGTTCACAGTTCAGCTGGCAACTTTCGTTGAATTACATGCAGGAAATACTTAAGGTAGGATATTGACTTAGGCTGTGGACATGGTTGTCGGCCATGGAAGGGACCATCTACCAGCGACCCCGTGTACTTGAACGCAGGAGACAGCTTTGCTTTTATTGAAGTACGGTTTAACATAGTGTAGTAAATTAAAACCGAAGCAGGATCAGCGACCCGGAGGGCAGCATCCAGATACTCGTCGATCAAATGCAGGAGGACAAAATGCTTTCGTGCAACTCTCAGTTCTCTTCTGGCCAGTGCAAGAACTGTTGGACTATCATTGCATGGTCTGCTCCGCCGTTCGGCCATTGCGAGCTTAATTAGCTTCCTACAAATGCACACCAAGGCTGGCCTGGAGGCAGGTTACCGAAGCCGCGAACAGGCGGATCGACAACGCTCTACACACAGGACTCCACAG